AAAGTCCTTTCCCGAGTCCAGAGTGAGAAGACAGAGAGGGTTTGGTCAGATACTGATGCGAGATGTGATCACAAACCTTGTAGTGAGCAGCAACCAAGGAGAGAGGGGACAGTTAGTCTCCCCAAAGCCCAGATCCCAAGACGGATAATACCACAGAGCCAACACATCCCACCAATTGAACCACGAAGAATGTGGCCAGCAAAGGCGCAGTGCAAGCTGAACATCCCGCTATGGGAAGAGTTGATGAGAAAACACGCCTTGCTGGAAGACTGGACCGACGTTCTAGAGAGCCTCAAGAATGGCTTTAATCAGGGCATCCCATCACACAGAATGCCTGGATACCCGAAATGGTATACACCGGAGAATCAGGAGTCAGCTCTGATAGTCCAAGATAAAATAGAGAAGACCTTCGCACAAAAGCTCAGGGAAGGCAAGATCTTCGGCCCTTTCAGTCACAAGCAAGTCTACCAACAATTTGGCTTCTTCAGATCAAGCCCCATGGGGAGTGTGGTCAATAACAATGGCAGCTTCAGGATGATTGACAACCTATCCTTTCCCCAAGATGACCTGGAAATCCCGTCAGTAAACTCCTTTGTGGACAAGAAGGGATATAAAACTACATGGGATGATTTTGAGAGGGTGGCAATCTTCTTACGGAGTAATGGAACACATTGGGAATTTGCCATCTTTGATTGGGAAAAAGCCTACCGGCAAATCCCAACCGACCCGTCACAATGGAGGTTTCTGACACTACTGGATTTCTATAATTGAGTATGGGTGGATACAAGGGTTGGCTTTGGAGGCTTAGCAGGCTGTGGTACCTTTGGTAGAGCGGTAGAGGTATGGAAAGAGGTAGTCATGAAGGAGCTCAATATCCCACGAATATTCCGCTGGGTGGACAACAACCTGATACTGAGGGAGAAAGGCTCAGACATCAGTATGCAATCAGTACTAAATTTAAGTCAGTGTATGGGAGTTAAGACCAACCATTCTAAGTTTTCAGACTTTGTGGACGAACAGAAGTATTTTGGATTTATATGGAATGAGGTGGAGAAGACGGTACATTTACCTCAGGAGAAAATACAAGCAAGGTTAGACCAGATAGAATTGCTCCTAGCAGGCGACCACTGGAACCTAGAAATGATCTAAAAATTTGTAGGGCAGCTGGGACACATACTCTACATCATCCCACACATGAATTGTTACATGAGGGTGTTATACTCCTGGAAGGAGACATGGAAGAAGAGGCAGGTGGTCAGGGAGATACCAGGAGGAGTCCGCAGAGGTCTAGAGGAAGGGCTGGACGTCCTGAAATTGTTTGAACACCATCGAATAATTCTGTCACCAGTTGCGGAAGACATAGCATGGGTGGGCAACGCATCCCCATCTTACGGGATTGGGGTGAGAATTGGTGAACTATGGGCAAAGTTCAGATTGAGACCAGGCTGGGAAATCGACAAGACGTGTCAGAACCCGAGGAAAATAGCCTGGATCGAGACAGTTGCGGTACAAATTGGCCTCCTGATGCTAATGAAACTCTTCCCTATGGAAGGCCGTTGTTTCATAGTCCTGACAGATAACACCACTACAGAAGGTGTGATAAGGAACAACCGCTCAAAGGACAAATCAGTAAATGAAGAGTGGAAAAACATCCAATGGATACTCACCTTGAAACACTGCTCTATCCACCAGAAACGGGTTGCTTCAGGAGACAACATCGCCGACGCCCTCTCTAGAGGAGACTCGACAGACGTCCACTGGTACAACAAAGTAGTAATTGGCCTGCCACCAGACCTAGAGAGAGTGTTACAGCAGGAATGCTGAACCAGTCCGAAGCGCAGAAACCAAGAAAGAAACCGGTTAGAGGATTGATCAATAGGATCCCACAGTTTGTCCAAAATGAAAACTTTGAACTCACCCCTCCAAACAATGCAGTGCAACGCCTAATGTTGCATGGTGGAAGCTGGGCTCCAGAAACCTTAATCCAGTACAATTCAGTGGTGTCAAAATTGATGAGATATGGAGATTCAATTGGAGCGCAAAGAAACCAGGTCCTTTCCCTTGGAGAGAGACACTTACTTAATTTCATCCAGTGGGCCTGTCCGAAAGTCAAAGGCGAGGAGCAAACAAACCAGGAAATCAAACCTTCAACGGTAGAATCCTACATCACAGGATTGCGCGCCTGGCATCTCTTTCACCACAAGACCTTCCCGAATGTAGACCAACGCGCAATCAACGCAGTCTTAAAAGCGGCAAAACTATTAGACGCTAAACAGACGAGTGGAGCGAGTAAGCCGACAAAGAACCCGGTTCTGATACCTCACTTGGCATTGTTGCTAAAGCAGATGAAGCAAGGATATGCAGTAATGGAAGTGGTGGTCACGGTTGCATTGGCAGCCTTTTGGGGAATGGTGCGCTTAGGAGAGTTGGTTCCGCTGCATCCTTCGAAGACAATAAGGAATGGCGATGTGACTATGACAGACGATAATCAGACTTGTTACCTAGCTATACGGGAAGCAAAAACCGCCAAACCAGGCAAAATTCAGTACCTCAGACTCACAAGGCATAAATCCCTTTTGGACCCAGTCGGAGCGGTTGAACGTCTGATGAGGAGACACCAAGCCAAAGGTGCATCAGAGGACAACCCGTTCTTCTCATACGTCAATCCAACTGGAGAGAGGTGTACGATGAGGAAACAAGGATATACAAGTTTGATGAATAAGGCGTGGAAAGAGGAAGGATTAGAAAGACTGAGTGGCCATTCATTCAGGGTCAGAGGTGCCTCTCTCTTATGGAACCAGAACGTGCCCCTGGAGCAGATCATAAAACGAGGCAGATGGAAATCTAGGGCCTACAAGAGGTACCTGAGGAAGTTCGACAATCAAACTATGAAGTCTACAGAGGAATGGCTACTCAAAACTCAAATAAAATAAAAGTCCTATGTGATTTAAGATTCAATTGAATTAAGCTTTAAAGTTCACCCTGCATGCGTCAAGCCACGCGTAGAAAGTCGTACATACACAGGATGTGAGTACGACCAAGAAGAACAGAGAAATTAAAAACTTCATGACTCAACAACAAGTCAGGAAGGACCTACATATAAAGGGAGGAGGCCTTAATGAGAAGAGAACTCGTGTGCCCCGGAGAGAACGGGTCCTAGAGAGCTCAGAGGCTCCCCGGAGCCCCCGAGTTTGGGTAGGCTGGGCCCGGTCTCTCAGGAGCCTAGAGTGTCCTGCTCAGCTCCGAGACCAGGTCAATACCGCTCTCTAGACCCGGCGAAGACCTACGGAAAGGTCCTTGCCGGGAGCCCGGTGGCGATCCTGGCCTAGGAGGCCCCCCCCACTCTACCCTCATCTCTAGGTAAAACTAGACCTGAGGTAGCGTAGGAGACCTTAGGTTCCTAGAGATCACCCGGCCTAAGGACATACGGAAACAACTTGTGAACTGAGATGGATTGTTCTTCCATCTTATAAGTAGTTCGGAAAGGAATCTAAGGAAAAGCTTCTTGAGAGAAGAGAAGAAAGCAAGATGCTCGAGGCTTAGAGGAGAAGTGAGTAGCTAAGGGGATTGGTTGCAAAATAAGGACAAGGTGCCACGGGATGGAAGAAAAATGATCCAACCGTAAGATTGCTGGTAAATGCTTGTGTAACAGGGCTAGATTGAAAACATCAGAAACAGTGTCTGCTAAACCTTGTTACAGAGTTTGGTGGATACTACCACAGAGCAGTCTTAATAAAGTATACTATACAAATCACTGATAGATGCTTGTGTAACAGGGCTAGATTCAAAAACATCAGAAACAGTGTTTGTCTAATCTCATTATAGAGTTTGGCAGAAACTACTGTTGAGACAGCAATCATACATATTATATTTAACTTAAAGTTACTTATAATTTATTATTCCACCAAAGCCCTAAATAGGAAGTGCTTGCACAAAGGTGTGAAAACAAAAAAAAGACATTTGAAAATGCAAATTTTCAAAAAAAAAACAGGGAAGATGAAAATATCTTAACATCACATGGCACCAAATTCTTCGACTAGATGGCCAAATACCCCAAGGTAAACTAGTCCCTTTTTGTTTCAACAAGTGCAGATAGTGTTGTATGCAATAAAAGCCTCAATACATTTCAAAAAAATTATTCATGGCGTGTTCACTTGAGCAATTTCTGAACGGAAATTGCATTCTGTGCAGCATGCAATTTCTGACCAGAAATTGCTCAAGTATCCATGCCCTTGGTGTAGAGCATTGGATATGATCATCATATCACAGTGCCCGTGAAGGGCGCCCCCGACGTCGGAGGCCCTCACCACAGGCACTGTGTATGCATTAGCATCATCTTCACGATCTATCAGATTCTGACAACAAGCAAGTATAAAGTTGACAAATCAAAAAAGAACCTTTGAACATTTCCGTGGGATTTGACAAAGAGTAAACATACAAGTTCGATAAGAGTATGAAAGAACACATCAAAAGTACAAGAGAAGTATTGAAACCAAACATCATGAAAATAGAAATCGTTATTTTTTAAATTTTAAAGTTTTCCAATTTTTATGTATTTTGATCGCTTCACAATCGTAACGGAATAAAAAAACAAAAGATACAAAAACACTTCGTTAATTCTGAAGCTAGACGTTCAACTTCGTTTTTCTAGGAGAAGATCTTGATCCACAACAAATCTCCTAATGGTCATAAGAATGAAAAAAACCAACGCAAACACAAACAATCCGTCTTGTAATATGAGTATAGTGTATTGAATAAAGGAATCCTAATCAATCAATCAATTTAATGAATCACAATAAAAACTCCTTGTTTTTGTTTTTCGCAAGTTTTTCTCCAAGTTTTTGGAGTTTTTTCGCCTCTCGTTTTTCGAAAGTGATTATACCTTGATGCGCCTTTTTATCATGTCTCACCATATCGCATGGAAACCGATACCTCTTTGCACAACCCACCACTGGACATTTGTCTTCAAGTAACAAGTAACACAGACAAACAAAAGTTGATTAAAACTTGATTTACTTCGGCAAAAAAAGCAGGTAAAAGAAATGAAATGATGAATATAAACACAAACAGATTGGTTCCGGTAGATGAATATGTTGATGCATTCATAAGTTCCACGGACCTGAAGCCATGTGCGAGCAACCCGGATGAGGGCAATGGCAAGGTCTCTTTTTTCTCGCAGCTTGTTTTCTAGGTCTGTTAGAATCAAAATTTACAAATTGGAGTCAAAACCTTGATATACAAAACCATGCCTATTCACAATCATCTCAGAGAGTTTGAATCTTTTCACTCACATCTTTTCGTTCGGAGGAGTAGGAGCTTTCATCATGCTGCCAGAGGCGATAGGAGCTTGTATCATCTCGCTTCCAGAAGCAAAAGTTTCATTAACAGCTTCTTCTGATGTTGCTGAATTCGTATTAGTATTCATGCAGCCGTGTAATGTATCATAGGCATCTAGTAGTCCAAAAGGTGAATTTATTTGCGCGAGCGGGACTTGTTGGGTATTTGAGAGACCTCCATTGGATAAAGAGCTCGCGGTGGGTTGGTTGTTGCTTGGTTTCGATTTCTTTACAGGAGGCTTTCTAGTTCTGCTTGGATCAAATTCAAATCATGTTAGAAAACCGAACTAGCAAATTTAATCCTATCAACGATTCGCTTGCATATCTTTTATATTTACACTCACCTTTTCTTCTTTGGAACGACAGGATCGTCAATTGCTTCGCTTCCCGAAGGAATAATCTGTGAGCACCTCTCCTCAATAGGTACGCCTGCAGTAATTGTATTGTAGGCTTCCAGCTGAGCCGGCGATTCGTAGACTTGCTGTGAGATCGTCAAATTTTGCTCTGGAAACGACACGCTTTCATTGTGATAGACTGTAGACGATTGAGGAAGAATATACCAGTCCGGTTCTTGACACAGGGCGGTTCGAATTCATAAGGCGTGAGTGACCACATCATATGTGAAAATTTCAAATTGCAGTTGATGATGCACTTACGAATACATTGAGCAGGCGTATTTACGGTTTCTCCTAGAGTTCTTTTGGAATAAGATATGTATGATGTTAAAAACTTGATTGCACAAACCTATTTGCATCGACAATCTTGGGGAAATACCAAGCCGTTTCACTTACGTATTGGGACCTTGAATTGATCCGTAGACAGATAGATCTTTTATGTCCAATTGAAGTGGTTGCGGCAACACCCCTTCCATTGGTAGCGTCGAGATTGAGTTGTAGCCAAACATTTCAAGTAATTGGTTGCATACTTGCTGTGGTTGCAGCTCATGATCTTGATTCAAATTCGGATGGAATTCCTGGTGCGGGTTAACCAAGGGCTGCCCTTTTATCAAGTTTGTTGCTGGAACAAGTTGGGCCAGGATCACAAAGCATAAATGAGTGATTCATCCATAGGAAAATCAGATCTTAATTACTATTGCTTACATTCTCCTGAATATACAATGCCATTATTGGACCACGAGGGTGGTTCGAAATTTGGTACTTAACACGTGTCATTTGAAACCATGAAGCGTAAATCAGTACTTCAATCTAAGAAAGACTCCATGAGATCAATGGTTTGCCCACATTGGTTCGAATATACAACTCCGGGATCGTAAGAAGGTTGAAGATGCGGATTTGGTGCTTATCACGGGTTGGTTTGAAATCATAAAGCGTGGATGAGTACACCATTCTTAGAACATTCTATCCTGATAAGTCCTTTGCTTACATTGTTTCGAATATGCAAATTCACGATGGTATGAAGAGGGTTGAACTTGACCATTCAATTTTGGTGCTTAAGACGGATTGTTAAAATCATGGAGTGTAAATCAGTACATCATTCTTAGAAATAGTCAATTGTAAGTAATCATTTCTTACATTGGTACGGATTTATGCCAGCATTGTACGAGGATAATTGAGCTGGTAGGTTTGGAGCTTAACACAGGTTGATTTGTGATCATAAATCGGACATTAGTACTCCAATTTAAGAAATATTGCATTTTATGAATGGTTTGCCTACATTGGTTCGAATATGCAAACCCGGGATGGTAAGAGGATTGAACACTTGGATTTGGTGCTGAAGATGGAGTGTTAGAATCATGGAGTGTAAATCAGTACATCATTCTTGTAAACATTCAATTGTAAGTAATTCTTTTCTTACATGGGTACGAGTTTATGCCAGCATCGTACGGGGAAAATGGAACATTCAGGTTTGGAGCTTAACCCGGTTTGTTAGAATCACAAGGTTTATATCAGCGTGTATATCATTGTCAACAAAAAACGTTTTTAATTGATCATTTGCTTACATAGTTGCGAATATGTGCTAGCACTACACAAAGGGGATGGAACATTCAGGTTTGGTGCTTAACAAGAGTTAAAATCATAGAGCGTATATCAGTACCTCATTCTTAGAAAAGTTCAATCATGATTGCTTATTTGCTTACATGGTTCCGAGTATGCGGTAGCACTATGCGAAGTAGGTTGACCAATTAGGTTCGGAGCTTAATAAGGGTCAAGTTTGGATCGTGAAGTATATATCAGTACATCATTATCACAAAGATTTAATTGCAATTAATTATTTTCTTACATTGGTACGAAAATATGCCAGAATTGCTCGGGTATAGCTGGACATTAGGGCTCGATGCTTAACACGGGTTGTCAAAGTTATGAAGTGTATATCAGTATAGGATTTTGGAAGGACTCCATTCGAATTGATTACTGTCTTACATTGCACCGGACATATGCTAGCATTGTATGAGGCAAGTGGAACACTTAGGTTTGGTGCTTAAACGGGTTGTTGAAATCATGAAGTGTACATTAGTCGATCATTCTAAAAAGGCTCAATTCTGATTGATTATCTTCTTACGTTGTGTCGAATATACAGCACCAGTCGTGAATGAGGAGGATATATCCAAGTTTGGTGCTTAAAACGGGTTGCGTGAAAAACATGAAGTGTATATCAGTGCATCATCCAAGAAAGTTTCAATTTTATTTAAACATCTACTTACTTGATCCCGAATGTATGCTCGTATTCAAGGGAGGCTGGGCAATCACGTTCGGAGCTTAACAAGGTTCAATTTTGAATGATGGAGTGTATATCAGCTAAACTTTCTTAAAAAGGTTCAAATCTAATTCATTATCTGCTTACATATCTCCGAAAATATTCTAGGATTGCAAAAAGATGGTCGAGCTACTAGGTTTGGCGCTTAAAACGGATTGGTTGAACATCACGGAGGGTAGATGATTAAAACAGGCTTGGAAAGATTTAATTGATCACTTGCTTACAGATGTTCCCTTGAACTGGATGTTCGAATTGAGAATACATGGCATCCAAGACCCGGGGGGGATCAGAGAGATACGCTCCATTGGAGTAAGGGAGGGCACATTCTTGATTCATTGGATCAGATATATAAGCAAGACTATGTGGATTGGGATGTTCCGATGCCAAACGAGCTTTGAAAGGATATAATTGAAAGTTGCAAGTCACGTTTTGTGGATATTTGAAGTTTAGGTTGTGATATTGTGATTTGGGAGAGAGCAAGATGGTTTGTGGAAATTTGCAAGGATCAAAGTGGTATTTTTATGGACGCTTACATAGAGACATGAGTGGCATCTTGTGTCTCTTGTCCCTCAGCTTTCTTTGCCCTCGTTGCTCACAAAGTGGTGGGATTTTCAGATTAGAGTATCACGGGCTCCTCATCTCTCCAAAGCTTCCAAATAAATTTCGTCAGCTAGGCTAGAAGACCTGTTTTGAATTTTCTGAAGTTAAGTATCCAAGGCGAGGTCAAACCTACTAGTACAATTTCGTTTTCAAGCACAGTGAAAGAACAAAACACCTAAGCCTTGAAGATATTTTTCTGTCATGGGTTGGTGAATCTTTAACGTGACATCAGCTAGACACGGATACATTTCTTAAACTTCTATGAAGTTGCAAATCCAATACGGGGTTGAAAATTCAAATATATTTAAGCGCATTGAAGAGAAAGGGCACCTAAGCCTCGAAAAGTGTTCTCCGTTGTGGGTTGGTGAAGATGTAACACATCATCTCTTTGAAATTTAAAAATGGATTTCATCTGCTATAAAACAAAACCATTTCAAAATTGAAGATTTAAGACGCGGTTAAAGCTACAAGTTTTTTTAAGCGCATCCGAAAGAGCCAAACACTCAAGCCTCAAAAATGTTTTCCGATCCGGGTGGTGGATCTTGAAGGTAACTTATCCATTTTCTCGTTTTTTTCGAACAGTCACTGGGCCGGTAATCTAGACAGACAACAGTCAACATTGTCCCAGGCCGCACAAAATGCAACCCATCATTTTTCGTGGTAAACTAAAGTGTACTCATCATGATTTGATAATCCACTTTGGCCTTGTTGACTTTTTGGGCTCATCTTTATCTGTCAAGAAGCTTACAAGACTATCAGCCGAGCTGAGTGCTTATTAAAGTACCTGTGCTCGAACTTGATGCAAGTTTAAGAGGGAATCTCAACCCGACCCGAACATTTCTGGCGACACTAAGGAATTTCGATATTTGTGGTAAACCGAAGTTTATCCATCCTTATATGATAACGCTCCCCTACAGAAATCTCTTAAGCTTTGAAATATTCTACCTCATCCATCGGAAAGTCCACAAGACTCTCAGCCAAACAGTTCATGATGATGATGGTGTTGTTTTTAAGCACTGCAGCTCGAAGGAGTAAGGTGAAACTCAGTAGGCGATCTGAACCCACCCCGGATATTACGGGTGAAGTTAAAGAGGTACATCATCAAGACTAAATAGTTGCAGAGAGCTACAATTCACACTCATCTCATGCTGATATGAAAGAACTCGTCAACGGGGCTCTCACCTTATTCAAATAAGATGAAAAGCAATCTGGATAGCAATCCAAAAAATACCCAAAGATGATGCATCCTCATTCCTTTCAATAGCTGAGATACACTCTAAGAGGTCAATATGGATTCAAAGAGCTAATCGACTTCAGCAGTCGAATAAGTGTTCGAACTGATCGCAGATATGCTTGTATCTGAAAAAAGTCATTGCATCAAAAGACAGATGATTCATCGCACAATCTTCATCATTCAATTCTTATTCAAGGTGTTCTTTGAAGGAATGAAACTCATTCTGTGCATCATCTTAAGGATTGGTACTTCGAGCTTCAAAATCAAGGAATCCAATCAACAAAATTTGTCGTGAAATTGATTGATCAAATCCCTTAGCTTTGATTCTAACAAGCTCTACTTGATCCGAGCAGATAGTTTCTCTGAGAGCACCAAAGCAATGCACCCTTCCGGTACAATTACGGTACTCAAAGCAACTATGTACGCGTACATATGTAGCTTTGAGTACCGCAAATACATAGTCGACTAGAAGCTACTCCTGAAAGATGACATGTAACTTACATGTCAACGCGCGAGATGAAGAAAGTTAGAGTTAGGCTCAGAGAAATACAGATAATTTTTCCTTACACTCAACTTTCTCAATCTCTTAGCTTAGCTGATCAGGAATGAGTCTCAACAACGAATCCCTATTCCCTGCCTCAGTCGATTCAAGTCAGCCCTCCCATCCGACCAAGATGGGACAGGTTCCAGAAATTATGAAATCAACAAACTATCCTTGGAGCAGGACACGGAATATCTCATCTCTCTTCGTTCAGTGAAACCAAACTCGATTTCACAAACCCAAGAAGAAAGGTTTGCGGACATCAAAAACGCTGGTTATCGAAACCAAATCGAGCTGGCTTACGCCGCACTTCCCTCCATAACTCTTGCCTCACCATGGGGCAAGGTAAGAAGGGTAAAAGGTTGGTATCAAATGATCACAGATCATCGAATTACCTACTCAAAAGGGATGATATGAGCAACGCGGTGTTTCATTCAAACGCTCTACTCTTTCAGAAAAAAACAACAAAGGAAGTTCCACCAGCGCACATACTTCCTGGGATCTTAAATGAAGAGTTGAGATATGTTGTCAGAAATTTTTATCGATCTTCCAATTTGCTGTGAATATTCATTTTTTCTGCAAGATCTGATTCAAAATACTTAAGACCTGATGGCATAAGATTACCAAAAATCTGTGGAATCTGAAGACAATCCTGACTCGCTTTTGGCAAAACAGACAGTCAATTTTTATCCAATGACTCCTCCAATTTAAGTTTGGGGCAAGCTCTTATAACATTTCTATCGATTTTCCTCGCCATGATAAAAACACTTTATCGGTTCAAGATCAAGTGAAAATACTTGAGACCTAATGGCATGAGATGATAGCAATTTTTCACAAAGCTGTATACAAGCTTGGAGTAAAACAATGACATAACCCAAGTTCCAAGATATGCTTTACATTTCTGACAAAGCTTTTATTGTGGGCATCAAATTTGGAAGCCCTGGATCCAGATACACGGGAAGTGGAGATCACCTCGAAGAGGTAGAAACTTCCAAGTTACCACCATTGTATCAATGTAGAGTGACACCAATCCGCGCAACAACCCTTTGATCTAGAATATAACCAGCGCAAAGCATATCAAAGTCACGATGAACGATGTTTAGTTCCCTTGCCTCGAGGCTAAACCTAATAATGCTAGACTTGTACACCCGATGGATGTATCGAGTGTTCTGTTTATCTGGGTCATCATACTGGTTCCATACCATGGATTACCAATCATCACAACTATCGCCGCGTTGTGATACGAGCGACAGCGATCACATCATGATGTTGACCTGGTACTATTGCTTGTCTCGCGCACATTTCTCTAAACATCATCACATACGCAATCCACTTCTTTCTACCATCTTCTCACTCAAACAAGCTTCAATGTGAGAGATAGTATGAGTAATAATTGACAATAGGTAACATAGGCCTTCAGCCCCTCTTCAGAAGTCAAACAATCTCAATGTGGCTTTGGTAAGTAACAGATGCGAACCAAGCGTGTTTTGCGTGTGTAGACGACCATCCAGCCCGCGTTTCACTGGAACTTTTCTTGTAATCGAGATACGTGAATCAAATGGAAGCCCGAATGACCTGCTGGATTCCACATAGTACGAAATGAGCAGGGTAGGTATGTAGTATAAACTGGTCAAGATCGATCAATCCCTAGCGGTCCTTCGTCTGAATCCGCGAACGTTATGTCATCAAGCTGAGGAGCGATACGAAAGAAAAACGACAACAGAGGGGACTTGGAGTAAACGGTCGATTCTGAAGATGCGCCTCTCTTCGGTTTCTGGTTCATATCTAATGCGGCCTGCTCTACGATATGCGGATATGGGGGCTTTTCATGATGACGTCATCCCCTGTCACCCCATGCTGTATTCACTATGGGTCGTGCACTGTTTACTACTACTTATGATCACACCCAGTTTACCTTGAAGAAAACCTGGATATTCGTCTTGATTCAGGCCATTGGAGATATTTTTGCAGCTCCAAAAATTTGGGACCATCAGTTTATCGTATCTTGTAAATATCACCGCTTCAGAATGAATTGGTACATTTCTGCTGTGATCCCACTACAACACCTTGTAGCCAGCTCAACGTGTTTCATTGCACAAATAAGCAAGAAATTCTTGTCAAGATTCTTGCATCAAGTGTGTTTACAGGGGTTGTGAACTCTGGTACAAAGAAATCAACTCAATTTTTTTTCTTGGCAGCCGGTCTGCATCTACAGCATTCTCAGAAAAGTTGTCAACTGATAGTAAGATTTTGTGATCCTCCAATTTTCAATTCTTGGTCTTTTCAGGTTGTTGTCCTTTCTTGCCTCAAAATTGATGACCAGGAAGCCTTATGATATTTTTCTTGAATTGACACATGCCCAATTCTCATGCAACCCATTTCAAGGATGCGCCTCAAGTTATCATATATCATTTTGAGATCAAGAAGAGTAATTTTTCATGAGACATCTAAGTGAATCCGCATTCATCCACTTCTGCTATATAAATGTAACCCCAAGAAGCAATACTATATAGGTTTTTCTGACTGGTTGACCTTAATCAGGATGTTAGAAATGCATTTGGCAAGGACTCAAAAAACCTGAGAACTATCTCAAAATTCTGACATTAAATCTTGACTATATCAGTTTCAAGTTTCCTATGATCAATGGTTCACACCAAACAGCGGCAACTTCATTGACTGAAAAGATCTCACTTGTATAACTAGGTCTAACTTCATACTCAAGCTCTGCTGATTCCATCTACCTTCATTGATTTGAGAATCCCATCATTAAAAACCGTCTTTATTTATTTTTTAAATAAACAGCTCTACATCTCAATCACTTTAAAGGGATGATCTAAAAGATCATAATCGAGACTGATCATCAAACTCAAGTGATTCTTTAGAATACCAAATGTATATGATAAAAAAGTCCAACTCAATTCTAATAAGCACAGAAAAAGCAAACTGAAAAAAAATAAAAAAATGTCATCAACGTCTCTTTCTTTCATGATCTGTTCCATTCTTTTAACAAACACATAAAGTACTCAAATCTCCGAGTCATTGAAACTCCTCTGTAACAAAAGAATAAAAAAACCAAATACTTTCTTCCCATCGACAGATGATACTTTCAAAGATAAATGATGATGATGATGTCTCTTTTTCTTTCGAAATCTTCTGTCTTTTTTTCTGTAATACCGCAAAATGATAAGAAAAAAAGACAATGGTGCAATATTATGAAATAGTGAAAAAATGAACGGGCACATGAATAAAGACTAATTACCATGATCAAACAAAACACTTAGAGAACCAAAATAAAATAAAATCACTCCTTGGGTACCTAAATTTGCCAGCATATGTTAATAATCATATGAAGCTGGTGAGATGATCAGAGAAAACTGTTTACCTCGGGCAACCCTGCTCCAGATCCAGTTGATGAACTTCTGGAATGACGACGCGCATCTGATGCATTCTGAGCGACAGCGTCTGCAAGGTCTTCCATCTCAGGATCAGCTGGATGCAGAAAAACCAAGTCAGTGTTTGTCTTTCTTCTGCCGGCAAGAGCAGCCCACTAACCTTGTCCTTCCATGGCCTCCCTGAATAATCAAGATGTACACCAATACATGGTCAGCAATCGGTATATATCTCGAGTATTGTGCTCACTACTGAAATTACGTACTTGATCATACTGATTGTATTTTCCAAGCTTCTTCTTCTGGTCGAAGGACTAGTCATCGTCGTACCCAAGCTGCCTCGTCTAGCATGGCCTCGTTTGAATTTAGGACTTCCTCCAGGTGTAGTAGGAGAGAATCCCAATCCATCTGCACCTCCAGACATAGTTGCTCGGTCAGGTGTATTAGGTAGAGCAGGACTAGCTGGATCACTCGATGAACCCTGATCACTGAACGGCATTCGACTTTCTCCACCAAGCGATCCAAGTGTACCACTACGAGATCGTGAGCGATGAGGCTCTCCAGCATCAGCAGCTCCTGGACTACGGGATTCGGCAAATTCTTCAAATCCTTCGACGTCTGCAGCATCAATCAATTCTGGAGGTAAGTGTTCGTTCTCGATATCTGATTTGCGAGCCTGATCAAATCCAGCTCTAAGGATGGTTTCTTTGATGCCTTCTGCACCATTCGCGAGTGCTCCATACGGTAATTTGCCCTGTCCTGTTGTCGATTTCAACTCTGACACTGCCTCCGCTTCCTCACGCAAGACTGCAAACACTCGTGACATCTTTCCAACCGCCATAATCTTATTCTTGATGGCCTGTCTCCGTTCGGCTGAGGCAGCTGCATCAGGTGAATCTGGATCGGACTGAGCCTCTTCAGTCACCAGGGGCATCTCATCTTCTTCCTCGTCCAATTCTTCCTTACTACATATGCCTAGGATGGCGATAAGCATATCCGTAACTGAAAGGATGAGACCAAAGTGGGTTTAGTATGACAGTCCAACATTCACATGAGCCAATGCACATACTCTTCTCTCCCACAAAGGGTAAACTCCAAGTGAAAACGTCCATAAAGTTCGGTAACCAATATGGATGTGGTGTGCAGTTGAACTGTCGAATGTTCATCACATTGTTTTCATATTTCAAAACCGCAGCCTTGTTGTTGTACACATCGAGGTAGTTTGGCGCCGAGAAAATAGTCATTACTGAAGGGAAACCAGTAGTTTTCGTTTTCTTGTACATACGATATCTATATAACCAAGAACGCACTAAATTAGCTTTGGTCAAAGAGCTGATGACAGGGGGTTGAGCATGTCAAGACTGACCCAGCGTCTTGGGCTTCATGGGCACGAATAATTGAGAGAAGTCCATTTCTTTCGAGGAACGCGCATGCTGCTTGATAACTGTGATAGGAGCTCCTTGTTTAAGAACATCGCTTTTACTCATTTATCTATTGCAGATTGCACACACCTGAAAAAGAAGGAACATCCTCGAACGTGATTGTGTACGAATCCATCCGCGGACTTTTCACTTCCAAAATCTTCTAAAGGATCAGCCCAGAGAATATCACACATCAAACCATGTGTAGGAGGTTCCCTGAAACGGTTAACCTGATGCGCGTGTTGATAGCCGCAAGAATAAAGAATGACGTCAGACGAGACCAAAAAGTTGATCAAGGGTACTACGTTCACATAACTGACCGATTTCAAATCATCCAAGGTCTGCAACTCGGGACTCAGACCACCATGAATGCACAAGAATTGCTTGTTCATGATTGCCGCCAACGGTAATGAACAGAAACTCTCCATGCAAGCATCATATACCCTCTCAGAATACTTGTGCTTGCATTCCAACTTGAAAGTGAAATAGTCGGTTAAATGCCGACACTCGTGATTACCACGTAAAAGGAACAAGGTGTCTGGATACCAAATCTTCAAAGCCCAGAGATACAACACGCACTATAATGAACAAAAAGATTCAAGGTGAGTTGAGTTTGCAAATTCAGGTGGGAGGTCTTCACTACTTCGATCTCAATCATCACAGCAGAAGATATTCTCACCTCAATCGAAAAGTAGCCACGATCGACATAATCACCCAGGAACAGGTACCGAGTTTCAGCTGGGTTTCCGCCCACTTCGAAGAGTTTCATAAGATCGAACTAATCTCATAGAGTAGTGATCGGAACAAGCAGGAGATGACGATAGCTACTTGTCAGGACCATCGTGTACCGCGCTGAAAATTGATCATTAGACCGAGAGACGTACGTATTGACCGTGTATGTCACCACAAACAGTGATCGGGGCTTCGACTTCAAGCAAGTTGGGCTCAGCTTTGAGAACCTCAGCTGCTGTGTTGAGAATAAAGAGGGCTTGCTCCTCTGTTAGTCGACCTTCACGATAAAAATGGTTTTTAAGAAAAGCTACATCGCTGTGAACCGAATAGAAAGGTGATCGGGTTTTGAGAAATAGGTCAGCAAGTGAAGATGAGATCTAGAATCAAAGAAAAGGTTTTGAAGGAGAAAAACTTACGGTTTTGATGGGTCAACTTGACTGAAGAACTCTTCATCGGTGGGTTTCTTGAAAGCAGGTGCTTGAACATCCTTAACTACCCTTTCTTGCGTACTGACAGTTGAACCATCGTCTTGCGTATGAACCGTGAAATCGATCTCAGGTACTGGTCCTTTCTCTCTGATAGATTTGATACCAGCTTCGTGTTGCTTGAGCTTAGCAGCTAAGACTTCAGAAGTACCTGATTCAGGCAGGGTAGTGGACATATCACGGGCAAAGCTGGTAAGGGGTGAAGGGGTAATCTTGAATGATTTGACAGGGATTAAGAAGAGATAAGATGACTTGGATTAAAGTGAGTATGTAGTGAAGATCGGATGGATGGGAGATAAAGGGGAGATAAAATGAATTGTAAAGATATGAACTTGAAACTCAGATCACTTAAAATCAAATCAAACCGAATGATTTATTTAGTTAGTTATCAATCATTTATAAGGTCGATTGAAATGATAAAGAAATTAAGTAAACACCTTGAACAAGTTATTCTTGATGTTCTTTGAATTGTTGATGAATGAGTCTTTTTTGTATTTTTAGTTCTTCAAACAAAGGCGTTGTGAGTCGAGTTGGTTTGACTTTAGCATTACGATTCAAGACCATGAATGAGGATGAATGACGACGAGATTGTAAAATTTAGTAGCTTAAGTCACAACCGACTTGAACAAATTGACTAAAATGGGTTTTACCATAACAAAAAATCAAAACTCTTCTCAAGTTTGGTCAATTTGTTGAAAGTTTAAAGTCATATGATATCATATCACTTCAACTCAAACTTCAGTACATATCAATGTTGGATTTGATCATGATGCTCACTCTCACTAACAGTGGCATTCAAGTTCATAAACTTGGATCAGAGTCCAATGTACATCTTATGGGTTTTGCATAATGGTTCATTTGTTTCATCATGGAGTTTTTCATCAAGATGTCTCCTCTTCATTCCACAGTTTAACTTACTATTTCTCACAGATGGATACTAGACAGTGAGAACTAACCAGAGGATATTTATTACAACTGACTATACAGGGTACTCAAAGTAAAGTATGTAGAGCTACATACTTTTCGCTACATACTTTTTTTGGCGGGGACAAAGAAAAAAATATACTTTTGGCCTCGTCTTCCCCGCCAAAAAAAGTATATAGCAAAAAGTATGTACGCGTACATACTCACTTTGAGTACCCTTATTAGTTCATGATTATTATTATGCAAGAGTTTATCTTTTGGGAAGTATTATATTCTGAGGTAGTTGTACATGTAATCTTTCTTTCCATTTCATATGATGGGTAGACTCAATACTATATCAGAGTCAATTCTAAAAAGGGTGAGTGGTCCAAAATATTGAGCTTCTTGGGGTTAATTTGGGCTGGACATACAAATGTATTTCATCTCAAACTTCTTTTTATTGTTGATCATATAATATCACAGCTTCCAGGTTCAAGTTGAACAGAACCCATCAAACACATGGTAGCTGATGAAGAAATTGTGGCAAAATATTTTCTATTTGTATCTTTTTAGAGGGCATTTGGTTTTACACATCACCTAAACTTTCTACTTATCTAGACTCAGTTGTGAAGTAACCTACAACTTCTTTTGTGTATCCTATTATAACAAGCCCTTATGACATAAGTACAAACTTATCAGCCAGTTAACATGTGTTTTTTCACATGTCTTGGGAATGAGCCTCTCACTATTTGATCAAGTTGCAGGAGTCCTAAATTCATGTAGGAAAAACACTTTCATAATTTGCTTCATGTTTGGACTTGATCACCTTCATTTGAATTGATTTTGATACCCCCTTTTCAGACATCTCACCACCATCTACCTGCATTGGTGTGTGAGTGTTAGGTGACCAAGTGATCCAGTTAACAAGAGTCAATCTTGGAACTTGGCATCTGAGGGTGAATTGCACAATGAGTTTTATCAACTGTGTCTGGAATCACTAAGTATGTAGTTGTCCAGATACCTGTGGCCTGGGTGCTGTAGCTCCATGAGTCATGTCATTACACAAGACCTTCACGTCCTGCATAATTCATAATCATACTTATCTTAGACATTATTACTTGTTAGATATTTACAACTGATTGACTCAATTCATCCTTTTTGTGGTAGCTTGTAGGAAATGCATTTATGTTAGTTCTGGAACCTCTCAGGGAATACTTCCCTTCTGACTTCAACTCACTTGAGTGTCTACTGAAAGTCTTCTCAGACAACTTAAGTAAAGATAAATCTCAGACTCCAGCATGTGAGTAATTGTAAAGGACTTCTTATGGTCCTCACTGCAGGATAAATTCAACTTCAAGAACAGGATGGGGAAGCTCCAGAGGTTGAGCTGAGGGATATTTTCTGAAACTCATCTTCATTATACAATATAATGAAAGAAAAATAAAATAGAAAGAAAGAATAAGAAATGGTCACCAAAGGCTCACATGGCCTCAATGATCATAAATATTAGTTTGTATTCCATAAGGAGCCAGAAGTGTCTGCATTGATAATTTGAATAAGTAAGAGAAACTGAGTTTGGATATAAGGATAATCTGAATGCTTGAAAATTTAATGTATTTGTAATGCTGTCAAGGAGATAATATCAGAGTACTCATCTGCAGTGGAGCTTGGGGACAAGAAAGGATCCCAGAAAGCTTCTATGGAACCAACCTACATGTAATTGGCAAAATTCAATGGATTGATACCTAGGAATTTGGTACCAATCATGGTGGTAACATGCAACAGTTTCTGACTTGAGTTGGTCAGCTTTGATAAATTGCCTATCAGTGACATGCTGTTTTTGGCTGTTGTTGCTCAGTGACATGCCATTCAATACATAATTGATGCCTGTATTGGTGTTTTTTGTTGGTAAGTTGTTTGCAAATTATTCCAAGTGATATGTTGTTTGTTGGTAACATGGCAAAAATCTTGACCCCCAATTGATACTTTTTTTGGTTGGTTCCATAGAAGCTTTCCTGTGTCATTTTTTAGCCGATAAACTGATTCAAATTCTAGAAGTTGAGTATGATACACTGATGTATGTACAAGATAACCTCAGACCCTCTTGTAAATTGCACCTGTATACATAGGAATTGTGTATTCATTTCATTGACAGGGTATCAAGAAATATTGATATGAAAATGATGCACCAGGAAAATCTGTTGAGAAAGATGGACCTTTGCACTTTACTGCTCAGGTCTTCCCAAGTGCAATGCCTCATAGTGCTTGTGATATTATTAAAAAACAATCACAATGTTCTTGTGGTGCTTTCTTGTTGATAAGAGAACACACCTCCAATTTCTGCTCCAAAAGCAGTCTGTTTCCTCTTTTTGATGAGTGACTACCACATGGACTTAGTGAATGCAGGTAGAATGGTAATTTGCTTCAACATTGGGCCAGTAACACTGCTGTTGTGTGCTGCACTTCAAAGACATCGCAGATTTTTGGTCCACACCGTACAATAGATCCCTTAGATCTGTTGTGGCCTGCTCTGATGTTCAGCAAGACCCTTGGGATCCACATTTAATTTGGCCACAACCACACCTGTTGTGTTTTGGTCTGCAAAATCATTGGAGTCGAGTTTTTTTGGGCTCTGTTGCACATGTTGCATTGCACAATGGATGGGGGTCTGGAGCCACCAGACCTGGCGATTTGATATTTTAGTACTGCACACTACACAGCACAAGTCTTGGCCTTTTGTTATGTGTTGCGGGCACAGCAAACCACAGCTAAAGATGTGCCTGGTGTGGAGCACTGTGTTGCTGTCCCAGGTTTGCTTGCTGATATAAGCACTGGGATATGTACAGAGACTAGTCTTGTGTATCAAGGATTGGAAAGGTCATCTTGATGTGCTGTTTAATATTGTAATTCTGGTGTTGTATAATAGGATTGTACCATGAAGAGAGAGGGATATAATCGTGATGATGTAGAGCAATGTATATGATAACTGTGTCTACAACTATAAGCACAACTGTAAGCATAGTCTAATTATAGTATTATTCAAGTTAAGATCATAAAATTACTCCCCCTTCAATGCACAAGCTCATCTTGCAGCTCTGCATTCTTGCCATGGTCCAGCATAAAACACCCACACTTTCAAGGAAAAGTTTAAACCTCTCAATTCTTTCTCCATGTCCTTTTTAACCTTTTTCTGCTTCTGGATGATCTTTCTTAATTTGGTTTAATATGTCTTGTGTGTTACCCGAAGAGTCTTCCTTTTCCCACAAACATTTTTCTGGGATGTATCCTTTTCAGCTCAAAAAAGATACTTCAGTCCTCCCCTTCTTTTTCTGCAGTCCAATATTTTTTTGACCTCAAATCCTTCAAAAGATTGCAATACATTTGGGTATTGCTTGACTTCTTTCTTGCATTGTATCTGGATTGAACTTTCTTAATGACAACACATGAGACCCTTTTTCACAGGCTTATTGCTTTGATAGGCTGAACAACCTGAACAAGCGCTGGAAATCAGTAATTGTTTACCAGAATTGACAGAATGAGTAAATACCTCTGATGTTGGGATGTACAGATTTGTCATCAACAGAGTTTGAAAATAAGATCTAGAAGGCTGAGCTAGCCCGAGTTTTGAGCTTATCAAATTGAGCACCCACTACAGATTGTGGTGTATTTTTTCTTGAAAATTATGGTTGAGAGGATACTGTTCCAAATGTTGTGATCACTGATACTACATACAAAGAGGTGATGCCGCGGGTGCAGGGTGGTGCTGGCCTGACATTGGCCCCCTGCTTTTGCATGACCTACCCTTGTGTTTTGTGGGGTGTTGCCATAACCATGCATCAGTGGGGTGACCAGCAGTTTGCAGTGGCACACACTTGTTAGCCCACATGGCCCACACTGCCCTGTGGGTCTCAAGGTTATGGGTTCAACACCCCATCAAACCATAATTTTTATGTCAGATATGTCCTGCGGATTGACTCAGAGCCTGACTATTTTGGTCAGTTACATCAGGGCAGTTCAAGACAGATTTTCCAAACAGCTCGCCGGAAATCACCAAACGTAAATTATAAGTATGTTTGATCCATAAAATTTGCGTTCGCAGGGTCCCAAACGCCGTAAAATTAAGTTTTACGGCCTTCCATTTCCAGGGCCAAAGGTTAAAAAAAAGTCATGTTGTCCCGTTTTTGTCAGGTCAAACACCACGGTAATGGCCTTGTTTCAAATGATTTTTTTTTGATCTCACGTTTTTTCATTTTTCCTTGCACATAGACGTGTTGTGAAGAACAGAGTCTGAGATACGGAAACCCTCTGGTTTTGTCAATTCCCTGCTTTTATTTCTCTTTTTATTTATCCTGCATCCACCTCCATCTCATCACCTCCATCATGCCTCGCGTATCTGAACGAGTAGTTGCTATAAGAGATCTAACGACTTTATGTGTCTTTGCACATATGAACGCAGCAACAAACGTACCCGGACTTGATGACCACCAACCAGACCCTAGCGATGGACAAATCTTCTTCCCAAATGATGACCACATGGCAAATTTGTATGACGAGGTATTTGATGAAGAAGGCCAGTGGGGCGACATGCTGTCTATGGTCATCTCCAGCCGGTACCTCGACACTCGAATGCGTGTACCTCACGCCAATCCTTTCGATCTTGGGGACATGCTGCACATAAGAAGAACTGACTTTCGTCAGGCCATGCGAACGACCCCCGAAGGCTTTCGTGCTCTTTTGGAAATGATACATTTGAACCCTATCTTTATCTCAAACACCAACAATCCACAACCACCGGTTAAACATCAACTTGCGATTACACTGGAGCGTCTCGGCAGCAACGGTAATGGCGCTTCGGTGGGTCACTTTGCAAGGAATTACAAAGTCGCTTGTGGATCGGTTGTCAATTGTACACGTCGTGTTATCTCTGCAATCCTCGAAGCCGGTTCTCATTACATTGCATGGCCCAACTCTAATCGACGGAAAGCGATTTCAAAGGTGTTGGAGCGAGACGGATTCCCCGGTTGTGTCGGTTTTGTGGACGGAACCACAATCCCTCTGTTCCAGCGCCCAGGACAGAATGGGGAGGTTTTCTTTGATCGAAAACATCGATATTCACTTAATGTCCAAATCGTATGCGACTGCGACAGACGCATCACTTACGCCTATGGTGGATGGCCTGCCTGGATCCTGCTGTGACAGCACCGTATATTCAAAGACCGACATTGCTGTGAACCCACATAGATACTTTGACCAAGGTCTGTCATGCTTTTGCCCTTCCAGACCTGATCCGAGCAACTACTTACTTTGTTATTATGTGTTTATCAGGCGAATATATCCTTGCAGACTCGGCATACATGCCATCGGAAACTGTTGTCCCCTCGTACAAAGGCCAGGCAGCAGAGGTAGAGCGCAACAAATGCTTCAATTGGTGTGTTGCAAAGTCTCGAGTAAGAAACGAACATTCAATTGGAATCTTGAAATCGAGATGGGCATCTCTTCAAGGGTTACGGCTGGCTCTGAATGAGAGAGAGAACATGGTTCACATACTTCGATGGGTCCGATGCTGCATTATTCTGCACAATATGTTAGCTGACCTTGGCAATGCGTGGGAAGATGAGGAACATGATTTGGTCTTACCTGAACCAGGCGAAGCGGGGCAGGAGAGGTTCCGCAAAGCAGTTTCTGATGTCGTCATGATGGAACGAGGCAGGGAGAAGCGAGAGCAGGTGCGAGACCACGCGGTGGCTTACAACTGGGCGAGCGGCGGCCTGCCAATTGTGCAATGATCTTCAATCGTTATCTTTCCCTTTACTTTCGATTTGTTTCTTTTATTTATTTTGGCTTTACTTTCGATTTGTTTCTTTTATTTATCTTTGTCTTTGAGCTTGCTATGTTCTTACCTGTCTGTGTATGTTCTTCCTTGCAATTGATCCTCTGCCATTTGTTCCTCATTGGTTCAAGTGATTTGTTTAATTTCTGACTCCGACTCTGAAAAGAAACCAGGTCATCCCAAAGCCAAGTGAAATAATCTCACGCACCAAGTCGATTAATTTTTTCTTGGCGAGAATCTCCAACGTGCATGGTTTGACCAGGTAATGACCGAATTTGATGTATCGCTGATTCTGGCTTTCAACTTTAAACATCAAGTTGAATCTCATATGCGAAGTTTAGGGACATCAAGTTTAACAGGAACTTTCAACATCGCTCGCCATGTAAATATGTTTGAATTAATCTCATATGCGAATTTTAGGGACATCAAGTTTAACAGGAACTTTCAACATCGCTCGCCATGTAAATATGTTTGAATATGTTTGATCAATTTGCAATCATAAAACTCTGGACATAACTGCGAGAGACAACAGCGCACACAATTAATAGACTGATGATAGACATCGTTCAGATAAGAAAAATAAGATCATCGACTGAAGACACAACACATATAGGAAATACAAAAGATCTTGTCAACCAAAAAGTCAACCAACAAAGGAACAGATAAACACCTTGAAAGGATTCTCGAAAAGGTAAGAAGATGAAACTAGTTAAAAGTAGGTCAACGACCGATGTAATACTTAGGCCGAGGTTATGGGACTGACAAACGTAGAAGCCCTTTTGTGAGTGAACGCGACAACTTATAGGTAGGTTAAGAACTTTGACATACGATCGGGCGTCCTCCGGATAGACGAGGCGCAGATACGCCTCGAGCTCTTGGGGGGTCTTTCCCTCAAGAACTAGCTTCTCACAGAAAGCTTTGCGTTCACCGCGTGCCGCAATCGCAATCCTGTTGCGCTCTTCCTCGCGCTCCAAGAAAAAGCGCTCCTTGGCCCAATTAAGATCTGACCCACGAGCTGCCACCTCAGCTCGATGTTTGGCGGCATCAAACTCCTGTCGCCATTGATAGGCTGATTGTAACATGTCAATTTTCGCAGCATTCCCTAGTTGCATTGCAGTGGCGACATGGTGTTTGTAATCTTTACCTCGCACCGTTGATGGGTCAATTGATGGGAGCGGATCGACCGCACGGCTTGTGAGAGTAGCCCGAGTGGCACCTCAAACTTTGGTCGAAGTCGAACCAGTCGGAGCGTCGTCAGAAGAAGAACTGTCCAAGGCGCGCTCTTCTGCGGTTAAGTCGTACTTTTTTGACGATTTGCGTTGGGATATCTTGCGTGCTGGATTTTTGGCGTGGGCTGGAGATACATAAGGCAGGGGAGTAGGGAGATCATCTAAAGCACGAGTGGCACCTTGACCTTTGGTCGAAGTTGAACCAGTCGGAGCGTCGTCAGAAGACGAACTGTCCAAGGCGCGCTCTTCTGCGATCAAGTTGTCCTTTGTTGACATTTTGCGTTTGGATTTCTTGCGTGCTGGAATCTTGGCGTGGGCCGGACGTACCGAAGGCAGGGCAGTGGGGAGAACATCTAAGGGAATTTCGGGAGAGTTGGGTTTTGGAGTAGGTGGAAAAGAATCCATGTCATTATCAAGGCATGCACGATAGTGACTGTTGAGATCGGGACTTCCGGGTCTGGGGCTGCAGACTTGCGCGTCAAGTATTTCTTGATAGGCTTGCAATTCTTCAGCACCGGGTATGGGGATCTGTGCAGGGGGCTCTGAGAGAGATTTCAACAACATCAGAACTCAGAAAAAACGGTGAATAGGTAATAGCGAAAAATTTACCATCTGTGACAAGTTTCACATTAGCGTGATGATCATGATTGGGAGCGGTGATTTGTGAAGGAATCTCTGGGAAAGGTTTCAACGACATAATACATCAATTAGTACACTATCATGAGAGGAGCAGGCAAAAGGAAAGGAGAAGGCGTACCTTTTGGTACATGATTGGCAAAAGCGTGATCATGACCATCAGTTGTACTGCCATCGCTGTGGTCAACATCGAAAATGATGTCGCTCTCATTATTGATGAGGTGTTCATCATCGACATCCTCATTGATGTCGTTGTCTGAACCAGGTGGAGAAACGCCCGTATCGAGAATCCCAAAGGGGTTGACGTTTGGATTGTCACGAAAGATCGCGTCCATCTGTTTGAAACAGGGGCACATCGACTCCAAAAGCTTCTCCATCATGTTGATACCGTCAGTCACATTCTTTGCGGACAAACCGCTTCCCGTTTTCAAACTGAAAGCCTTTGTGCGAGAGTATTTTGATTTGTAGCGTTTGAGTCGTTGATGTAAGACACGTCCGTTCAATCTCATATCGGTAGAATTATGTCGAACATTGTGGTTGTTGTTGAGTTTAATTGCCAGCGCGTTCAAAATAGTATTGGGGTTCATAGGCAATCCGGAGACCCGAGTTTGGCTCCCGCCACCAAAGAGAGAATTACGAATTCTCGGGTTGCTGAGGTAGGAAACAATCGTTTGATGATCGACCAAATTGAGAGGAGGGCTGTCTCTGGTGTTTTTGGCGGAGGCGGCCATTGAAGCACTGTGTGCACGCTTTTGAGCCGCTAGGCAAGAGCGTTTGATAGCAGCGGGGGTAGCTTGGGAACCACTGGAAGGGACTCCTGCAGCACGAAGATCCTCCTCAATTTGCGCTCGAGTCCGTCGAGTTCTTTGTGCAGCCTAAAAAACCCACATTAACAATTTGGTCAGTGTCTAGAAAGGACAAAAAGATATGATTTACTACAAGTTACTCACTTTCCCGCTTGTTTGAGATACAGGCGGCATTTGTGGTTCGAATAATGAAAGAATAAGTTGGACACTGGAGGATGAATGAACAATGCGATAGATTGATAGATATCAAGAAATGTGAGGACGTGATTGAAGCGTAGGATGAGAAGAAGTTTGAACGAGAAAATTAGATGGGCTCAAAAGGTTTGCAATCGCAAGGAAGATTGTTTAAATGACTGTCGAGCCGAGTCACGAGAAAGTTGAACGTGACCACCAGGACAGCAGGGAATCAGGTCGCGTTGGAGAACTTCTCGGTTTGAGAATCGAAGTGACAATAATTATCTTCAAGAAAGACTGGTTCCCGTTGGTATCGATCCCTGTGATGAAATCCCAGGACAAAGCGGTCCAAACTCAGACCAAAATCCAGTTGAACGAGAGCCACGTGATGAGTCCTATTCGGAGATCTTCTGGGTTTGAGATGCCAAATTCAATTTGGATGATGCGAAAGCTGACGTGATCTGCAGAGTAGCCGAGCCAAGGTGAGGAAAAAGGAGAGGGTGAGAGCAGGTGCCCTCTGTGTGTGTACCGTGGATATGTGGCAAAGGAATCATCGGGTTTCAAGGTCGGCTAACCATTTTTGGGTCAAAAACAACGGTAATGAAAGAGGTAACTATGGGAGAAAAAAAAAATCGCGTAAAAAGCGGTTCACAATCAGGTCCAATTAGCAAAAAAAGCAGTGACAAAAAAAACCTTTTTTTTTGCTAATCGGACCTGATTGTCAACTTTTTTTTCTGCTTGCGCGGGGAAGCTCTAAAAATTTTAAGACCAAATAACAGATCGCTAAGTGGTGATTCGTGAACCACCTCTAGAGATGGTTCGCCAAACTTAAATTTTAACTTATAATTATGACTCCCCGAGCAGTCCGTAAAACTTTCAGACAGGCTGTAAACGCCCTACTTGAACTGCCCTATTTCTGCGGAAAATCTTAAAAAACCAAAACCTAACTTTTTGGGTCAGGCATCTTAGTAGGAGCATTCCAGGTTCCTGTTGTATCAAGTTGTATTAGATTGTTTATGATGAAAAGATTTTATCAGAAGTTGATAGGGTTTGGGCAAAGTAAAATTTTGTATTATCAATTTTAGCCCTTTTACAAACAACTCCAACAAACGTCCTGGCAGATCCACCGTGAATTCAGACTATGTATAGCTACATATGTATCAATAGGCAAGGATCTCAAATGGAGTTGACCGGACAGTGAATCTGATTGCAGGAGATCACATGTTCTTAGTAAAACTTGGTGGTTCACATTGCACATCCCGTCATTTTTTGGACCTAGTGTCTGTAAATGTCATTATGTATGAGCAGTCTGGGATACATATCAAGGATGAGAAAGGCTCTCTCAATTTGATGTGTTGTATCTTGATGCTGATGATGTAGAACAACAAGGAACGGTGTATATAAGCAGCATGCCTAAGACTATAGCTATACACACAGTCTTATAGTATGACCCAAGTTAAGATACTTACTTCCTCTCTCAAACTATGATGAATTGGTACAATTGAGAATATGCTGATGTCACAATCAGAGAGTTCTGATAAGGAAGCAGTCCGGTGCTTAGTTATTTCAAGTACCTGTTAGATTGTTGGATAAGGATAAAGAACAGGACATATATTATAGTACAATGAGGTTTGTACCAGAATGGCTCCTCTGGATCTGTCAAGTCAGTGCTCTGTCACAAAGAGTTCACAAACAATGAGGTCATAACAGAGGACAATCAGGGGGAAAACTTGGAGGTCTCCTCTTAAAAAACATTTCTCATTGTCTCTTGGTAAAATTGCATGCACTTGGTTCCCAAAGTGCCTCTGGGGTTTGTTAAGGTTATTTCCCCCAGGCACTGAGGGGATCTGATTAAGTTAGCATACATGCCTACTTGGGTCAACTTCAAAAATTTGCATGCACTGAAATGTATCTCTTTTGTGGGCAGAGCATAAAAACATAAAGGAGTAGAATTATCTTGAACACCAGGACTTATGAAGGTCACATATAAACCCAATTCTAAAAAGGCTGGAACAGTGGAGTGATTAATGATAGGGATTCAAATAAATTGCGCCAATAAATTGGTCACACGATAGTAGTAACCATTGACCATACCTTTATATTCATCATGTCTCTTGGCATCATCTATATTTGTGTCAAAAATCTACATCACCTTCTGATCTTTTTGATTCATTTTACTTTGCTTTCTCTGAGTTTTTCAGTAGAACTCCCTTAATTTTATTTTTCCTATTATTCTGATATATGTATGTGGTATTTACCAATGCAAAGAGTAGATGACTTAAGTCACATACCATTTTGTCAGCAAAAATAACAACCAAGCCCAATTTGAGTGCGCTGGCTACCGAGTGAGAATAAGGCGGAATGGGCACTGAGGTGAATCACTCATCCTTTCACTGGGTGAGTAATCTTATGCTGTTATCATGTCAGACAGATCACATCATTCTGATGTAAGATGGCTCAACTTGTCATGATGTGAGCCATCACCTTGAGGATACGTGGTCACATGAGGTGAAGCTCACGCTGGCTGGCACGTGCAGGTCACAGCGGGTATCACAGGGTAGACAGCGCGTTTTTATTGGCAAACTCATAATCCATGTGAGCTTCACGTGCCAGCTGCCCCGTGATGTATATAGATGATTACCCTGTGCAATATCCATCAATGATCACAATAGGCATTTTCTCTCTCTCATTGAGAGATAATCACATCTGTGTCGTCACCGCTTTCGAACAGAAAGCAATGACCTATAGAAAGATGATATGCAGACGAAGTATGTTGTGAAAGAGTTCTCGGCACACCTGTTGAATGACGTCGTATAAAAACCGCAAGTCAAATCATTATTGTTCATGGAACCACCGTTACGAATGCTTCGATCAGGGATGCAGGAATGAATACCGAGTATGAGTATATACTCAGATGAACCGCCATGATACATACATACATAGCCTTGCAGGTGCTAAAGTGACCATCCGAAGGGAAGTAGGACCAAGGTGACCATTCAAAGGGCACCGCACTTTAACTTGTCCCGACGTCGGCAGAGATTATAGTCCGGCGATAAAGTGATAATCATGAGAAAAATATTCTTTAGTTCGTGTTTCTCGTGCTCAAGCTCCCTACCAAATTCTTAGCACTGTTACGAAGAATATTTAGATATACATACTTTCAGCTTATCATCAAACTTAAAGTCCCCCCGCCCGATGACTCAGTCGCGGGCGGGGTGGGCTTTGATACGTTTGGATATACTTACTTGCTTGTCCCACTGCAGTCAGCGTCTTACCAGACGGTCTGAAGAAACTTCCATGGCATGGGAAGGCGTCCGATCATGCTTGCCTCTTCGTTTAAGCTTCAGGTGATGGATCTCGAGCAACAGAGGTTCATGAACGCATTGGAAGGCTAGAAATGTCCTCTCGGCGCGAAGGCTGAAATCTTGTCATCACAACCCTACTCAAGCGCTTTAGATATAATCATCGCAGCGGTGAATCCTCGATGACGATTGGCGAATTTTTGCACCGGTGACTCCACCTACATATCTTGATTCTTCGCTGTCTTGGAAGTTGGTCTTTCATGTCGGTTCATCGCTGGCCTGACTCGCTCTCACCCGGTGAGCAAACTCGGTTAATAGATCTCGAGTGTGAAAGGAATAAGTCAATTTCTCTCGGTCGTCGATTTAATATTTGGCCGTGGTTGAGTTGCATTTCGCCGTTGTCTCTCGAAATAGACATTTAAGATTGATAAGACTCGGTGCTCGTTACTTCGTTATCCTGATCTGGGTTTTGTTATCCTGATTATTTATTCTGATTTCCGTCATCAGTCATCGTTTCCATCTCATCCAAATCAGAGCCAATCGCATTCATCACGTGTTTTTGCCCGGCAGAGCGCTTCCTCATACTTTGTCGTATAGTGGAATTTATCATGAGTCACTATTCTCGATATCAATTTCCTTTGATGTCCGATACGGACTCTACCCAAGAATCCACCTCAGTCACACCTTATCGCCAAACAGACTCTCATGGTATCGTAAATCACCAGAGCTTTACTTCAATTTCAACTTTCACTTCGACCTCCAGTGCGACTACGAATTCCACCCGTACGGCCTCACAAAACCTCAACGCATCTTCATCCACCCTCACATCCGTTGTGCCGACGCGTTCAACAAGTTTCATCAATCCCCGGTCTAGTACGGCAACTTTAGATGCACCACTTAAGAAATTCACCTCCCAACCACAGCGGTTACCCAACCTTGTATCAGAAGAGCCAGACACAAATTTAGAAGTACAGAAGGTCTATGCCTTCTTGGATCAAGTAGGGATACCTGCGGACGGATTCACCGAAGGATGGGATTGTACAGAAGATAGCAAACGGATCTCAGCCCAGTTCGTGGGCTATCAAAACCAACGATCGAAGGACCAACAAAGCACAGATGTCTCCGAACCTCAACTACACGTATTGCGAGACGCAGATCGATATGGTTTCTTCAGTCGCTCCAAACCAAAAGCCCTCGTACAATTACAGTCTGCTTCGTTTTTCCCTTCTACTTCTGCTTTTACTTACTCTTCCTCACCCGATCCAATGACCCCAGAAACAAGAGAAGAGCCAGAAGTGGACAATCAAATCGAATCAAGGAGGATCTCAAAATGGAGTGCAATGCTTGAAGGCGATGTACGAGATGGAGGATCAAATATTCTTTCTTTCAGACTGTCAAATTATTGGAATTCACACAGGGAAAAGTTCATAAAACGTTGTTATAAAGGTATCCCAGATCGTTGGAGAAGAGGTGGTTGGGATTTGTTGATCAGAGAGTTTGGAGACAAAATTGGTTGGGATAAGGGACAAAGTGCCGACAGACTATATGAGAGGTATGCTGAGGCTTCGATGATTTCCAGTGACCATGATGTTCAAATTGATTTGGATGTACGACGAACTGTCGATGGGCATATCTTTTGCTATACACCTTATGGTCAAGAGTACGTCGTGTTTTTGACCGTGTTATGAAGGAAGAAATATTGACTGACTTTTCTCTCTTTAACTTTAGTCAACGGGCTTTATTCCAAGTACTTCATGCTTTCGCATCGTACTGCGAAACCTGTGGATATTGTCGAGAAATGGGACCGATTGCAGCAACGCTATTGAACTATTTTGATGTCGAGGTTTAGTCATCTTCTTCTCAACTTTTAAAAATCCTCTAATAAACTGACCCACCGAACTCTGGTCTACAACCACAGATGGCGTATCTATGTATGGTCAGATTACATGATTGGTACAATTTTCACGAAATCTTTGCTGCTGGATTTCCTGGGCTAGCAGAATCTTTTTACATCCAGGAAAGATTGATTGAATATCTCTTGCCAGACGTTTATCAGACTTTTGTAAGGGTTTTATCATTTTTCCTCTGGGTGGATTCGACAATTCTAGATATTGTTCACCAGCACTAATGCTCTGTTAATCCAAATACGCAACAAAAGGTCCAACAAAAGATCAAATCTTCGTCATACGCTACTAAATGGTATCTGACGCTTTTCACCGGAACTGTTCCTTTCCAAGCTCAACTGAGACTGTGGGACGTTTTCTTTCTGCGTGGAATGGACGTCTTGATCTTGGCATCAGTCTCAATAATCTATGCTCTCCGGAATGAGATAGGTCCTGGTAATACCCGAGAAACGATACAGACCAAATTAAGCTTCGGGTTTGGATTAGAGTCTAAATCTATATCACTATGGATTAGATCCATTAGGAAATTGGCGGAAAGAAAAGATGTTAGAAAATTGGTCAAAGCTTCGAGACTCGAATGGAATGCTGGAACAGATAGAAAATCTTTGAAGAGATAAGCATTAGTGAACAAAGTTCATATTGTGACCTTGCTATTTATTCAATTACTTGTTTTATTTCTTTCATCAGACATTTTATATGTGAACAGTCTAATTTTTCTTCTGCTCTTTTACTTATCAATTGCCTCAAGATTACATGTCTTTTTATGTACGGATTTTTTCTGCTTCCTGCTGTACAAGTAGTATTGTTTGCTGTGCAACCTACATTGTAGTCGGATGTGGAACCAGTGTCGAAACCTGTCCTGCTTGTGTAATTTGATGTGGGAAGACTCCACCGAGGGTGGTTACAGCCTCTCCAGAGATGGAAGACATTCGTTCCTGAAACACCCGGCCCCGCTCCATGTCCAGTCTTCCTTGTCCCTCTCCCCATTACATCCTCTGAAAGATCACAATTTCCTGCATTACAATCAAGCCCATATCACAAAAATATGTGGACAGATTTGATAGCCTTGCGCAAAAAACACTTCCGGTAACATGTCAACCATCTAGTCACAGGTTTCTTGCAGATTTTCTGCCTAATTCCCTCAAAACCACTGAAGGCACCCCCTTTTTAGTGTGTATGGTGCGTGGAGGCAAGAGCTTGGCAATTTGGGATCAAGTAAATACTTGATAAATTGCCCTTTTGGCCCCACCAGCTCAAATTTCAGAACCTTTGATCAGGTTGGATTCTGGAGGTTTCATCCAAATTTATAACACCCTGTCTGTTGCTGTCAAATGGCTTCCAGAGTATTGCCTGAGTAGCTATGGAGACATATGTAGTCAATTTTTGGGAGGATTTTGTCAAACCAGAAAATTTATGTGATGTATCACATGTGATTTACTTATTTAGATGAGCAAGGAGCTCAGCAGACCTGTATGTACATGATAGCTAAAAATTTACTCATCTTGTTGCACACATGTAATGTGGGTTTCATGGCTCAGGTGTGCAGTGCATCATGATCAAGTCTTTATGACCAATTATGCTTACAATAATTTTCCTTGCTCAATTTAAGGGAAGTTGTTTGATGTTTACAGCATAGAATTCAGCAATCACCTTGAAAGTGTAGCCAAGTCACCAGCTTGCCAAGGATTTATTGGTGTTTTGGATCTGCTTTTAAGTAGAGAAAGTAGGTAATGGAACACTCATTTTCCTGAGGTCTGATTGTCTTAGACTTCATATTGAGTGGTGCATTAGTTGTTATCAACACCTTGTCATGGTACCCATGCAGGAATCATCTCAATCCTTTTGTCCAATGTGTAAAATTGCTTTTTGCACCATCAACACTATGACTATGCTTTGAGAAGCCTCCTCTCATATCCCAAATTTGACCCCTGTTGTCCCAATGTTTCCTGATTTGTGATCACACTAATGCTTTTTGAGTACAAATAAGACACTTTGTCTATTACACATTACAGTCGACTCTTGATGTAAGCATATCAATGGTCAACAGATACACCTTGCCTATATCGCGCGATGCATAATTTCAAAAGCATAATATGCCTGTTGGGCCCATGTATACCAAAAAAAATCCCGCAAAAACCTATGCATATAGCGAGATATGTCTACGTCGAGCTTGCTTGCATCAAGAGTTGACTGTATCAAAAGCTTCAAGTGATGTTCAATCTATGATACTTGTGCCTTGTGTAACAACCCATCATCCACTTCCCAAATACGTTCTTGTGGTGCTTTTGTCTTTGTTGGCCCAGTTCTGCGCGGATTGCAACGTATACGGAAGGTTTCAACTTGGGTTGTGTTGTGATACCTTCTCTTTCCCATTTTTTATGTTGCATCATCCCATTGTCTACTCATGTTATGTGACATTGTCACTTGTCGATTGTAAAGAGATGAAAATAACTTCCTATGGTACTTCATAGACAAAGACCATGTTTGTGAATGTTATTCCTTGGAGTCAATACACCTGTTAGTTTTTAAAAACATCCCATAACTAGCCTCTCTCAACAAGAGGTGCACCACAAAAATGTTACCATACCCTCTTAATCATCTGCTAGGCACATTAACCAAGGGAAAATATGTTGAGCCAATGTACACCAATACATATGGTAGAGAAACCATTACTACACCTTGGCCAGTTAGCAGTGACAAGCCAAGAAGCCTTTATTTGCCAAAAATTGCAGCGAACAGAAACTTTTACTGCTTTAGCTTGCACTCAGAGTTTAAGAAGGTTCTAAAATATGTTGAGCCAATGTACATTTGTTATGAGCCACTATTAGGCTATGCTTGTACTGAGTCCTACTCGAGACTATACTGTGCCTGTCAGAGATTTTCCCAAACCTGCAGCGAACAGAAACTTTCACTGCTTTAGCTTGCACTCAGAGTTTAAGAAGGTTCTAACCTAGAACATCCTCAAAGGACAATTTTCCTAAGGAAGGAAAATTTGTATATATATATTTGATGTTATAAAGAATATTGGTATAAGCTCAAGATACAAAACAAAGGTAGATAGGTGAAACAACATGTTTGAAAGGGTTTCTCACAACCATTGTGTATTTTGATTGACCATGCCATGCAGGCAGGCCCTCAACCATGTCAGAATCAGATAGGAGAATGTCCAGATGATGAAGGGAAAATGATGTTGAACATGTGGAGCAACATCATTAAATATTGTACTGGATCTGAACACAAAACAAACTTAGTATAGGAAAAATCCATGAACAACACTCACCGTGTCCATGTAGGGTTTGCTTGTTGACAAGCAAATGCTACCCCGCAGTGACTACAAGTATCTTATGATAATATTGAGAACTTGATTTTGTCCCAAGTCAAATGACAAAATTATCAATTCTATTCAGAATTCTTCTTAACTGATTGTAATTTCTTTGATTTTCTTACCAAAATGAGCTTGTACTGATTGCTCTCTGTCTTCTTTGAAGGATACATGGCATCTGATTGAGTCCTGGTGGCTTTGCTTAATTGATTTTGGTGACAGCACAGGAATGAATGAGTTAAAATCTGAATTGAGGAAAGTTGTGGTGACCAAGTCCGCAAATTCCTTCAATTGTAGATTTTGTTCACATTACATTAACAATGGGTTCACAGGTTACCCTCAGGCTACCCTGTCTATTTGTTGTATGTATAACACATATATACATACCCAAGAGTCCCTTTCAAAGCATCTGCTATCTTTTATTTTATTCATATCTCTGGCTCCTGGCTCCTGGCTCCAGACTGATCACTGCCAGACCTGGCAGAATGGGTGCATCAAAGCAATTCAAGCCAGTGAGTTGCCAGCGGTAAGAGCTTTGTCTTCCAACAAACCTCCTGCTCATGTTCAGACTCAGAGCTTGTTCTCAACACATGGTTCCTCTTGAATCGGCTGAATCTCTTGTGGGTCTCCCTCATGTGGAATAATTGAGCAACTAATGTAATTGCAATCAAATTTCTTTCTAACAGAGAGCTCAATTAGAATTCACTCAACAACCACAACTCAGCAAAATTCTCATCTAACATGTACCATTACAACACCAATTGATTCCACAAGCGGAAAGGGAAACAAGACAAATATTGAGGATCCAGAGGACTGAGTAGGCCAAAAGACCCAAGACAAACAAACCCGTTGAAGGGGGGTAGCAGAAACAAACACAAAATAGTGTACTTAGTAATGTGCAACCTCTAAGATCCACTCTCTAGAGAAATTGCTTACTTTGAGGTGGACTGCACTTCTTTATTTGCCACATACCCCTTGGTAACTGCCCCCGGAGACAGCCCCTGAGCTGGTTGTTGTTGGACCAATGCTGTTTGCTGATCAAGTGGAGCTGGGATCACTTTTTGGTAAGTTTCTTGTGCATTTCCTCCAGAATGGTGGTTGTTTGAGTGAGGAACTTTCTGATATTTCCCTCTACTTTGGTGTCTAGACTTCCAGTGGTTGGTGGAACTGCTAGCTTTTGACTATGCAGGACTTTGGACTTTTGGTTGCTTTTAATGCACACAATCTGAGGCTTAATTCCCAGTCCTGAAGTTCCACCCTGATTTTGGCATGCCCGGTCTGTAAGGGTTACTCAAGATGTGTGTGAGATCCCCAGACTTATTGTGATGAAACTTAGCCAGCACTTCAATCTTGGTATCCAATACAATTGGTAAGATGACACAATCCAACACTTTCTTTCCTTTCTTCTGTTTTTCACCTGGTATCTTGGAAAGTTGATGTCTAAATACTGAGGTTTGAATCATCAGGTGGTATTGTAACACTACCATCCAACAGTTACATCTCTGGCCCATTCTAGTCACAATCTTGACATCCTTTGGGATCCATTTAACATACTCCTGGGGCTGTACAGTTCACCTGCATATCTTGCTTGGAGATTGCTCGCCTCCACAGATTCACCAAATTCCATGTTCTGGTCACTGTCCACTTCAGCCTGAATCATCCCTTTTGAAGTATAGCCTTTCAGCAACTCAGGATCTTTTGTGCCTTGGCAATCATTGTTCTTACGTAGGAATATGGAGAGGGGGACGTAATCATTCATCTTTTTGAAGGGTTTTGCCTAGTGTTTAACTTTAGGTAAGTTAGGTAAATCATAGGCTCTAACATTCTTCATTCACACTGAACCAAACCTTATTAGATTTGGAGGTCTCTTCTTCTGAGCTAGACAAAGAATCCAAATCAGAAGAGTCTGAATCTGCTGGGTTCTCTATTGAGAAAGAAGGTGAATCTGAGTCCAAGTCAAACCTTTTGGGCAGTGAGTCCAAATCTGAACCAGAGGACAACAAAGAGGAGTCTGAAAAGGCTTTCTTCTTCCCCTTTTTCCTTTTCTTGTCAGTCTGCTTCTTCTTTCCGGACTTGGAGGGTTTCTTCCTTGGCTTATCTGCCTTCCTTCCTTTCTTCCTCTTTGGCTCAGGAGTAGTGTTTGGATTGCCATGCTTGTCATAAAATCTGTTGCGTAGCCTCTTCACCTAATTCAGATGACTGGCTTTGACATCCTGTATGATCTCCTCCAGCCAGGCAACCCTTCCCAAGTCTTGCCTTTGGATTTTGTATCTTTCTTCTTCAAGCTCAAAGATTTACTCAATGGAGTGTAATCTGTCATGAATAAAGGACACCAAGAAGGAACCAAGCTTGGGGCAGTCAGCAATGAACTATGCAACAACATCCTTGGTGAAAGCCTGACTAAGCACCAGTTCTTGTACTCTCTATGAGTAAAAATTACTCAGATGAAGATCCCCTGGGGGCCTCCCTAACACTTTGCAGTGGAGTGCATAGCACATCAATGGGGGATCACTCAACTCCCAAGAGGAGAACATACTCTAACAAGTAGGAAGTCTAACAACTCTTACAGTAAGCTGCAACTTACATCTATCTGAGTCTTCAGAACCCTCATCTTCACTCAACTGATCTCCTTCTGCTTCATCTTTGTTGTTTCCCAACAAAGAAACTTCAGACCTTTGGTGGTGATGCCTGGATATTGGTACTTCAGTATATTTTGTGTTTTTGAGAATCATCTTGATGGGCTCTCTAGTAGATTTTGACAGCAGGATCTCCGGTTGCTCCTTGTGGTTTTTGTGGTTTTTGTTAACTTACTCTCTTCCTCCTTCTCCCCCTATGCTCTCCAAATCTTCTTTGTCTGATTCAATCAACGTAGTGTCCTTATTGATGAGCTTGTTATCTCCCGCTGCGGCACAACATTTTGTTCTTCTGGTTGCAGGTTCTTTGACAAAGCTCTTATCTTACCCATATTTTCCTTCTTGCTTGATTTATGGCCACTGAACCGTTCTTTTTAGAGAGAAATCAATGAATACAAAGGATGGTTTCTAATTGATCTCTTAATGGGAATATATAGTCTTCTTGAGGATTTCTATGTGATGTAGAATTTTTTAAGAACTATTCCCCAAAGTCTTTTTGAAAGAAGAGCAAGAAAGATGGGCAATGAGTAGAACTTTGTGCTTCTCAGAGAGGAGTGGCAATTGGAAGCATGGGAGATGAAAGTTTTTGTCTCTGCTTCCAGCCACGCTTCTGAATCTACTAGTGTGAACTGAGCACACACATGTGGAGTGTGCACCCTTGTAAACTTAGTCAAGGGAGGGACTTTTGGCTAATGTCATGTTTTTATACTCACAACAGCAAGATTTTTGGTAATTTTTCTGTTTTTGCCCGTTATGAGGGTCACAGACCTCATCAAATCTTGCCTGCTTTGGCAAGGATGTTCATTTGCACCTTGTACATGTCCTTGTGTGTTTTTTGGTATCCACTGTATTGATTGAGTCCACTCAGAAGAGTTGTAAAGTAAAAAGTGTTAGCTGGAACACCAAATTTGATACAGGACCACTAAAGTGTGCTGCTGTGCCCAAAAACACGCTGTCAAAGAATCCCAATAGCATCAAATATATCCACAATGAAGATCTGAAACCAGGACCAGGAGAAACACAAGATGTCAAGGAAGCTCAGTGCTGTTGAATGTAAGATTCTACAAGGTTTGGAACCCTCAAAATGGCCAAAAACGGAAAAGTGGCCGAAAATCTTGCTGTTGTGAGTATAAAAACATGACATTAGCCTTAAGGCCCTCCTCAACTACTCGGGCGGGGGGGGAACTTTGATAAGTTTAGCGCTCTTGTCTGCTACTCACTTGTGCCATCCAAAATGGACTCGAGTGTACCGTCGCGGGCTTTGGGAACACTTGCAATATCTTTTAAAGAGGGAATTTGGGAGCCAGGATAAAAGAAACATACATATGTCTAAACCCATGATGTCCACTACTGTATTATACCTGTAAGGTTTGAATTTGTTGATATCTGCCTGCTGGGTGATGAGTGTGGAATTAGTTGGGAGGGGGTGGAGGCTGGGCTGGTTTTGGTGAGGTTGTCCATACACTGGGTCTAAAGTGGAAGGGGAAGTGAAATGTTCTTCTTTGAGGGCTTTGATTTTTTCTCTAAGCTCTTGAATTGTGTTCATAAAAATGATTGTCATTGTGATGACGCTTTGGAGGAGACCGACCATCTCTTGACGCCTTTTCGGTTCATGGATGACAATGCCTTTTCCATAGTGTTTCGGGTATCGCCTGGTTTTCTTTGCGAGTATAGCATGTGAGGGTTCGGTTGATTATCCATGTCTTTGTGGGGAGTACCACACTGGTTTTTTGATGGATTGGGAGCGGAAAGTAAGGAGGAGAGGACAGATGATTAAGATTGATTGACTCCCAAAAGGGTTCTTCGCCAGTCAAGGAAAAACCGGAGATACATACTTATATGAACCGGGGCAAAAGCCGGTGGATGAAAGCAAATCGTGAGCTGGTGTAGCGGGTGACGTATAAAGTCGTGATTTGACATTTCAGTCAATCAAATCAAATCAATTCAACTATCAAATCAAATCAAACAATTCTCATTGCAATCCAACCAATCCATTTTAAGCATTCATACTTACTTACATATTATGACAGACTATTATAATGTTCATCAAACAGAACAATCAAACTTATCATCAAGAAGAATTGTAGAAGAAGAAACCGAAAGAAAACCAGGAGCAAGTGAACAACAACCTTCGATAGTCTATACTCTCTCTTCATCTCAAAACCAATTCAGTACAAACCAATCAAACCAACATCAGAAAACTGACTATCAACCTAACAACCATCACCATCACCATCACCATCAAGCTAGTAGTAGTAACGACCATCTACCAGGATCTCAAAGTTCATCAGCTAATACTTCAAACACTTCTTTCCCTCTCTCAACTCATCATCAAACAAATCATCAAGACCATCAAAGACTGAACCCTAACCTTAATCTCGATCATCATCCAAGCTCAAGTTTAACCAGTCTGACGTCTACTCGTTCAGCTCCACCTCGTTCAACCAGTCTTTCAAACCTACCGACCAATCCATCTCAATCACTTCAACCAATCTTATCTTCAAATCAAAACTCAAGATCAATGGAATCATTTTCAAAACTATCACCAGAAGATCAAGCCACAGCTCAACATGTTAGAAAAGTATATGCATATCTAGAAGAAGTAGGAGTACCGGGAGATGGGTTTGCAGAAGGAATCGAACGAACCAGAGAACACAGACCACTTTCACAACATATTTTGAATCATCAATCACAAAGAAGACAAGACCAACGAATTTGTGATTTAGCAGAAGCTGAAATAGCTGTCTTAAGATCAGCAGATCGATATGGGTTTTTCAAAAACCCAACCAGCGAACGATCTATAATCTTACATTCACTTTTCTTTTATCCATCAAATGCAACGGTCTCTAATCGAGATGCACCACCTAAACCTGAAAACCCATATGTAGACGTAGCAGAGAATCAAATCGAATTAAGAAGAATCTCAAAATGGAATGAAATGTTAATGGGAGATAGAAGAGATTCAGGATCGAATATAATTTCATATAGATTAAATGATCAATGGACCCATCAAACCGATCGATTTGAAAAACGGTGTTATAAAGGTATACCTGATCGATGGAGAAGAGCAGCTTGGGATTTGTTGATTAAATATTTTGCGATTCATAAGATTCCGATTGATCGATCTGAACGGTTATCGCAATCATTTAAATCAGATGAAAAATTGATCGAACAGTTTACAATGGCTATTCAAATTCCTAGTGATCAAGATGTTCAAATCGATTTAGATGTACCAAGGACTATCAATGGTCATATCTTCTTTCACACACGTTATGGTCGTGGGTTGGTGATCTTATTTTTTTTTGGCAATCCATCCATAGATTTCTGAACATTGATCGTTTTTTTGGGGGGGTTTTCATCTTTTTCAGTCAACGAGCTTTGTTTCAAGTCCTTCATGCTTTTGGAATGCATTGTGAAACCTGTGGTTATTGTCAAGGAATGGGACCGATAGCTGCTACCTTACTAAACTACTTTGATGCTGAAGTTTAGTTTCATGTTTTCATCTTCTATTACTAACCTAAATCAAAGCTACTGAATAGATCAAACTGACTTTGTTGATTGGATTGGATTGGATTGGATTGGATTGGAACAGATGGCTTATGTTGCTATGGTCAGATTACATGATTGGTATGATTTTCATCAAATCTTTGCACCTGGCTTTCCTGGTTTAGTGGAATGTTTTTATGTTCAAGAAAGATTAACTGAATATCTCTTACCGAACATACACAAAGTTTTCGTAAGTTAAATCTGCTACGTATAATCACCAATCGATTTAAAAGTTGATGATTCTTGAATGGTTTTCGAATTCAAATAGACTCAACAAATGATTTCAACTTCATCTTTCGCCACTAAATGGTACATCACTCTGTTTGCAAATACAGTTCCCTTTGAAGCACAATTAAGATTATTAGATGTACTTTTATTAGAAGGCATGGATATTTTAATCTTAGCATCAGTGGCTATCATTTTTTCACTTCGATTTGATTTATCACAAGGAAACGATTTCGAAATGATCTTATCTACTCTATCTTCTAGATTTGAAATGAGTCTTCAAACTTCTAAAGCTTGGATTCGATCGATTCGAAAGTTGGGAAAAAGGAAAGATGTTCAAGATGTTATGACAAAAGCTAGGGTTCAATGGAAAGAAGCCGTCAAAGATGGTAGTGCTAGTAGGAAAGTGACTTGAAAAGTTTTGATTTAATTTTTCTTTGGGGGAATGGACAGGGGAAGGGATCTTTTTTTTTGGTGAAGGAGGGGGTATTACTAGAATGGGAATCAGTGATTCTCAATTCGAGGCTTTTTTTTTCTTTGGTTTCCTTTTTTAGAGTTTTTTTTTTCTTTCATCATTTTAGAAATTTGATTTCTTTTAATCTTTTTTCAATTCTTCATGATGTTTATAAACTGAAGAATCTATGTAAAGAATCTTAACTCTTCTTCATTCGTTTTGATCGTTCTCTCTCTCTCTCTATACTATATATCAATACTGACTCACTTTTTTTTTGATTATGGTTCTGTTCTTTTTCAAATCTGATTTCTGTCTTTTTCTTTTTCTTTTTCCTTGACTTGACTTGATTTAATTTATTTGTAAATATCATATTATAAACTTTAGAAGAACCGAAAGGTTTTTTACATTCTTTTTATCTTTCTTCTTTATGCTGTTACTTTAATTAACATTTTTCTTTGAAATATCTTTGTTTTTTGAAAAACTTGAATATTTATTTATTCAGACTCTATCACCTTTTCTTTGAGGGTTTTTATTTTCTGGTTTGTTTTTTTACTTTGATTTTACAGCCGTTTCATGAAAGGTTGCAATTTTTTTTTGAGAAAAGTGATCCCCGCAGCAGAAAAATTTGATAAAAGTGGCACAACCCAGCTTAAAGACTTTACATGCACTTAAGCTTAAGTAAGCATATCTTGCGCGTTCGCCGCGCCCGTTACAATCTTAACGGGCACTAGTGGATTTGCAGCTATTTGCAGGCCTTCTTCCGGTCGTTCGACTGTCACACCACACCCACTATCTGCCATAAGGCAAGCTCTCGTCAAGCTCATGCATGGAAGAGAACCCCAAATCAACCCTTGGGGATGGAATGTCTGATTCCATCCCCCTTTTCACTCTTGCTCGAAGTGTCTGGGAGGACGTACCTGCCTCAAGCTCTGGTGATCAATATCCCTCTTCAAGAGACATCGAATCACCTTTCCCATCCGCCTCTGGACGTGATTTCTCTCTCCGCACCTTCCAAGTGATCACTGTTTGTTGACTCTTTTCTCAATTGACCTCTCAAAAACATTTCAATCATCATCCTTCGTGTCTGACTCAACTCCTCTATTTGTAGCTATTTGGAATACTTTCCATCAACGTGATCATTATGTCTTTGAATCAAGAACAAGGTTGGATGAATTCACGTGAGCATATTTCTATCTTTCAGCCACTATCTCCCTTGCCTTCCACTAACATACCTCTTCACTAGTCTTTGAGGACCCTCCACTTATTCACGATGGACCAGATGCCCCAGCTCGCCAAGCTGGAGGGAATTTGCTTCCCAAACCCGGTTCTCCAGCACGAGTGCAATTTGATAAAACCCATGAGGTCAAAATCAATGTTGAGTTCAAGATTGCTTTTGAGGACGAGCCGGACGAGCCACAAGTCCGCATTGGAGGATCCACAAAGTCTAAACCAAAGAAGACCTTTACAGTCATCAATTCTAACAACCTTCCGACCGGAAAAGGCAAATTTGTACGTGCCTGTCTTATAGGTAAGAGTCTGAATGAATTCAAGGTTTTGTGTGGCAACGTGATTGGGGAAATGCGAGAGGGGATGAACGAGGTCATTCTGACTGGGGAGATGGCCAAGGAGTTGATATGGAAAGTCAAGGTTGGAAAGACCCCATTCACCCTCAGTTCGTACACAGAGTGGCAGGAACTTGTGGACACAATCGATAGGTCCAAAACCAAAATTGGAGACCTTACCATCAGTACCCCTAGTGATGCTCAAAAGAAGCGTGAATTGGCCGCGGTTAGTTTTGTTTTTCTATGTTGATTAAGAAGCGCTCCCAAGTTGATTGTTTCAATTTCATCAGGTTTCAGCCACTGATCGACTTTTAAACAAGAAGACTTTAACGCCTTTGGAGATCAAGGTGTGCCTAGCTTCAAAATCTTCTCTTGGCAGAGCTGATCGAAAGACCTTGTTTGTATTTCCAGGAACATCAAGATGAACGGAACTCTTGGGAGCTCGTGGACAAGCTCATCCACCGTCATAGCCAGATTGGTCCGGGTGGCGATGGTGGCGAAATTTTGAGAGCCCCCTGGGACCCAACCTTCCGTTATAATTTTTCACTGCAAGGCGCACATATCTGGGCAAAAGCAATTGTCAGTATTCCTAAATTTCTCTATATGTTCAATTTTAGCTCATTTATCTGTGTCGGCTAGATCGATGGAACTGCGACTTTGGATATGCCTCCTAATTCTCAAGCTTACCGCGAGATAATGAAGAAATCCAAATGTCGTGGTGACAAATCGACTTCCAAAGATGCGGACACTTCCAATCTGAAACGCAGGATTAGTGGTCCTTCTTTGGCCAACAAAAAATCAAAGGCGATCCATTCTGGCAGACCGAGTCTTCCAGACAATTCAGGTGTTGCACAATCCACTTCCACCTCCAACCAAGGTGAGTTCGGTATCCACGGCAATCGAATCACCTCAACTTACCGTGAATAACATATTGTTTGTTTTCATTTCCATTTCTAGCGGGTGCAGGACAACACGCTCACATCGATCCATCCCTTCAAGATCCGAAGATCATTGATATGACCCGCTCAGGTTCTGAAGGAGATTTCAAAGAGGATTTTGAAGAAGAGTTGGAAGATGGTTTGGAAGATGATTTTGTAGACAGAACGTTGACCTCAGACGACATCGAAATCATGTCTTGAGATGACAAACCCTCAGAGTGCTGCTTTATTTACAAAAAGACAATTGTCATTGTCGGTTTCACACCTCATTCTGATCCCATTTGTCATGGTTTCCATGTCTTCGCTCCCACTGAAGCGACCTCTATTATGGTTATCGATCTTGTTACTTTTTCAAAAGAAATTCTATTGTTTCCTATCTTTTACAACCTGGTGTCTTTAATTGTCTGAATACTTTTGGTGTGGTTTGTGCTTATTCAATGATTGACTAATACGATGTTTCCCAAATTTAATTGGTGTCTTAAAGCGAAGATCCTACCTTGATTCCATTTGTTGATTAGATCAGGATTGAGTACTGATGATCGATACGGACTGAGACAATGTCTGTGACTCGTCCGATATGATGACACTGAGGACATCATCTCTGATGCATCTCTGATGTTGTTTCTTTTCTACCATTTTCTTCATCCCGTCAAAAAATCAGATGTATCTGTCAAACACACTCTGAACGATGAAGATATAATGGTCTTTTATTGGGTTAGTTTGACCCAATATCCTTAAGCCCCAACTACCTTGAAACACACGCATGCCTCATCTCATATTGTTGTGAACGCTTTTTGTCTCCATAACAATGCTTTTGAGACAAAGAACTTGATCAAAGGTCACAAACTTTGTATCAAAGTTCATTACTCATCTTCCAACTAATTTGATTACACATTTGTTAGCAATGGAAAGTTGCTTGTTCAAGCTTTCCTTTTCTCACTCGTTCATTTTGCTCATTGTCATAAAACAAAGGAATCAATCATATGTTAAATTCAAAGTCAGACTCACTCCACTCTCTTGCACTACACATGTTAATCATAGTAGAAGTGTGAATACCACATTGTTGGCATTCATAGCCGAAAGAAAAAAGAGATTGAATTCAAGTCCAGTGACCACAATTTAGGAAAGTTTACAAGCCATCTATAAGTCACAGCAAGAATGGATGGGTGTCCTTCAACTTTAACAGTCAATTTCATACTAAAAATAACCAGAGCCTCTAAATAGAGAAGTAGTCAGCTCCTCGGTGAATATGTCCATACAAGCAACCCAAATCGCTTCTTTCTCCTGATCTTTAGTGAGATCCCGATGTAGAATTCCTGATCGGCGAAGATCGGCCTTCAATGGCGAGAACCCCTTTTCAATTGGATTGAAGTCGGGGCTGTACGCTGGGAGGTAGATAAGTCGAATCCCCCGAGCGGCACAGAGGTCAGGAATTCGACCACCGTGATGGATTCTGGCATTATCCATCACGAGAACCGAGTTCCTAGCTGGCCATGGTTGCATGAATGGCAACTACAGTCGTAGGAAGTCACTCAGCTGACCAATCAACATGAACCAAAAAGATGAAAGCTTACCAGATGAAATTCTAGATAATCCTCAAATCTCACTCGGTTGTAACCCCCCTCAATCACTTGAAGACCAACAATTCCACTCATGGAGATCGCTGGTAGGATCGTCCATCGATTCGCAGTAGTTGCACGTTGCAGGCGACGGGTTCGCTGTCCGCGGCGAGACCTGGCGTAATCTCAATACAAGCGCCGCTTGGTTAGGCTGCTCTCATCTGGAATCAATTGTCAGCAAATGATATCATTAAAAGAAAGAAAAATGTGGGACAACCTACCAGCAAAAACCAGACATCGCACATCAATGCCAAAAATTCTTGCGACATATTGGCCTCGAGCGATTGGACTTTGGTTTGGATAGACCGTTCGCGCTTTTTTTCGAGTAAGGTTTAGTCGAGACTTGATTTCATTGAATAGAGTTCCAGTTGATATGTTGATATTGAATGTTTCAAGAAGTTTTGATTTCAGCTTGTCCAAATAAAGGGTGGGATCGCCGTCGAGGGAATCCATGAGGAAACGCCGCTGTTCATCGTCCAGCCGAGTCGGAGCTCCTTGATCCATCCAAAGATTAGGATCGGTAACCACCGAGCGTGTAGTGCGGTAGAGGTTATACCAACGTCGAACCGAAGCGATTGAAACCTGGAGTCCTAATGTACGGACAATATCCGGGTAGCTCATCCCTCGCAAGACCAATCGCACAATTGCAACCTTGAGGTCTGGGCTGTAAGTATTGAAAGGCATTTTCGACGGAACTCGGCATGTGATGGGAGACGGTGAGAAGGGCAGAGAGGGATGAAAAACGAGGTTAGAGATAAGTGCTAGTCACGTACCAGATCAGAAAAGGGGCCCTTCGCCAAGCACGCACCCCATCGACTGAGTGAGAATCGAATATGATCTGCATTGAGATAGGGGTGACAGATGACCGGAGGGGATATTGGGAATCCTCTCGCGAGGATTCTTCTAGTGATCAAAACTGTACAAAGCAGGGCAATAAAACAAAACTCGGTTTTGTCACCGCGACGACTTTTTGAAAAAAAAATCAATCATTCATGAAACGGCTGTATGTTTTTTTGAGGTTTGCGGGTTTTGCGTTTTTATTTATTACATGTTAGCGGTACACAAAATTAAAACCCATCAGAAAAACCCGTGTAAAAAACCCATGAAAACCCATCTGATTTTCGGGTTTTTAGAACGGGTTTTTTTGATGGGTTGCCCTGGAAAGCTTTGTCGCAGGACCCAGGAATGCACCTGCTAATGTACGTGACTTAAAAGGGGGGGTTTTGGACCCTTTCGGAGAGCAAATTTTGATATGCACGTGACCAAAAGGGGGGTTTTTTGGCCACTTTCTGCCTAGATGTACGTGACGTGAAAGGGGACTTTCTGGGAGTTGGAGTTTGATGTACGTGACGTGAAAGGGGATTTTAGACATGTCACAGTTGGGTTTCTTCGCTTGTGTATGATCAAAGCTTGATCATCCAAACTCTTCCGAGCCTCGATCAAAGCTTGATCTTCCCGGCAAATCTTCCATATAAACCGCAAGCCACCGCATAAACAGCAACCTCAACAACACAATTCTCCACATACAGCCGCATACCCTTGCATAACCTTCTATAACCTTGCATATCTCTGTTAGATATCACGTGAAATATGTTAACTTTTGATCAAACCCTGAACAAAATAATCCGCCTTTGCGACAACTGCCCCGCTCTTCGAGAAGGGACTCGTCAAGATAAAACCTACATGAGATTCTCTAATCCACCCACTGCTGATGAGGACGAAGGGATGTGGTACCCAGTTAATACCACTCTTGATGCCGTATTTGGTGTAGACTGTATCAAACTCGAAATCTCAAAAGGACCTTTTGGACTTCCATTGGTGGTGGAATGGGTTCAGCAAGCGCGAAAGCACCACACTTGGGACGGCGATTCCGACAAGCTTATCAAGATCAAGTTGGATAATATCATATCTGCGCTCCAAGGTGAGTCTTTGTCGTCTTGAGCCCTTTTAACTGTAAAAGGGATGATTTAAGTGAATCATGATCTTGCTTGAAATCATGATTTGACCCAGATGCGGGAGCTGAAGATCATGAAGTGGATGAGCCACATAAAACGAACTCAGTTGTTGGTAACAAACGTCGAATCAGTCGAATCGAGTCCAACCCCACGACCTCGAACTCATCGAACTCCTCGAAGTCCATGGATGATCCAAAGCGTCCAACCAAGCAATTCCGCACAGCTGCTCCCGCCAAAATATCGGATGGTGTCATCAATTCATCAGAAGTCATCCTTGTGCTTTCCTCTGACGAAGAGGAACGCAGAGGCTTTTCCAAGAAAAATTCTGCGAAACGCGAGCTCAGAAACGTCAAAGTGGTGAACTTATGCCCGTTATCAACTCCCAATAAGAACTGTAACCGATGCAAGGTGGAGACCCGCCTTGGCGGTAAACACTTCTCCTGCCACTGTGGAGCGAAATTGATTTGGCTTAGTGGTGGACGTGTAAGACCAGCGGAAACTCACTGGGCCACCGGTAAGCCATATCTCAATACATATTTCCCTTTTGATCTTTTCATGGTTGACTAACTCAAGACATGTTGCAGAGATTTGTAAGGACAAAACCGAGCAACTTAGAAGCAATACTCAGTTGACTTCATATTTTACAAACTCGACAACTTCCAATTCGAAAATGATTGAGGTACCTTGTCCAGGACTACACGATGGCACGTGGGAACGACCAAAAGCTCGACACACTATTGCATACTTCCTTTCAAAAACCTTTAGCGTCTATCGCGGAAACTTCCGACATAAAATCTGCCAGGACCTTTTTGGAGCTCATGCACAAGAGAGCAAATTGACGAAAGAACAGAAATCGAAATTAATGACAACTCTCGACGCTCAATCCAAATGGCAAGTCAAACGACACGGAGATCGTAATGCAATCTACTCTAGCAACTGTGAAAAGACATTCCTTTGTAATAGGACCATCAAAAACGCCATATGTACTCCTTGCGAACAGGTCAAAGGAATGCGTAGCTTAATCCGAGCCCTTAATTCGGATTACGCTGAAGAAGAAACTCTCAAGTACACTCCCAACAACTTAATGGAAGATCACCAAACTATATTCTCGCCAACTTTGCTGAAACTCGCTGACTTTCGACTACTCCAAACATCCATTGAAGCCGCCTCCAAAGGGGATTTTTCTGATTTCTTAACGGTCATGGCTGCCTCGGCTAGGAACGGTTTGTTTGATAATCGTGATGCAGCACGTGCCATGATCAAAGCGGTTGCAGTGAAGGCTGAACGTGTCAATTCTGGGAAAACCACTCGAGGTATGAAGATAGACTCATGTCTGGACGAGTTTGTCATGACACTTGGTGCCATCAGTCCACGTGCTCTAAGCCTCTTCAACGACAACTTCGCCGGTCGTAGCCAACGCAGTCTCCGAATGATACGAGCAAGAGACGACATGCATCTACTTGATGGTCTTCACATCACCAATTTCAATCGAATTTCTCAGGTTCTGAAAGAACTTGGCTACTCCGGTCCAATTGCAACGGCTTCAGATCAAACAGTTTGTGTAAAGCGCCTTCGCCATCACAACGGCTTTTTGGTTGGCGCTCAAGGCGGCGATATATCTTTCGATGATCCTTCTGAACTTCCTGATCTTGTTAGATCGGTTGTTAAAAAAAAAGAGCTATGCTCTAAAGTAAGTATTATTCTCTTCGACTTTTCGATTGATTATTTAATGATTAAATTAACTTCAACCCATCTCTCAGATACGAGCGTATACATTACAAGTTCCCTTGCCTAATGTACCAACTTTTGTGGTGGCACTCATTGCTAGTTGTGATAAAGAAACTTCAAATGATATACTCGAAAATCACCACACCTTCATGAAATTGTCTCAAGACGCGGGTATCAACATCTTATCAATTGGAGCCGATGGTGCACCAACCGAGCTATGTGCTCAAATTGCGCTTGCGGAGTCAGCAACTCAATTCATTACGTACGAAAACTCAGATTACGATGTTCACGTCAAAGTTCCTCTTATGGGTAATCCTCCTCGACCAGTTGTAATGGTTCAAGATCCTAAGCATGCCCGTAAAACTGGTGCAAACCAGTTGGGCTCCGGAGCCCGTCTGATTGTCATGGGTAACTACCATGTGTCTATACAACAAGTGGCCACCATTCTTCAGTCTGGACGTAGTCCTCTTCTTCATAAAGACGTATTTGATTGTGATAAGCAAGACGACGGGCGAGCATTCCGAACTTTGAACTCGGGAACACTTGCGGTTTCGCTATCCAACGATGACACACTTGGTTTATCAATCTACCTGTTTGTAATTGGGGAAATGTGTGATGCATGGTTGAACCGAAGGATTGGACATCGCGAGAGGATTCGATCAGCATGGACCGCCGAGTTCTTCTTAAGACATTGGAAGAAGTGGCTTCTCAACCGACAAGCCGAACCTCACAAGCTAATGAGCTTTTCTCAAAACTGTGTATCGCCTCAAAGCTTCAAGATCTTCTCGACTCTAGCAACTTCTCTGCTTCAACTCATATTAGCTCACCGAGAATACTACCCGAACTATCCATTGCTCCCTTGGAAACATGGTAGCGAACCCGTCGAACATATATTTGGCTGGATGCGTGTCATATCCCCACGGTTTACTGTACTTGATGCTCGAATGATGATGCCTAAGATACATGCCATTGTCAAGAATGTCATGTCAGGCCGAATAAATTTACCATCATCAGAGCACATGCATGCTGGATACCAGTATGCATTCTCTGACGAACCGAAAGACGAGAATCTCGACTTTCTTGCCCAGTTTCCCACTGATAGCGAGATATCAGAGGATCTGGCTGTTGCCTATGAGCAGGCTGATCAACTGACCCAGGTCTCTGGTATGGGCTCTCTCAAATCATTAGACCAGGAAGTTCCGGCACGCGATCTTGACGATTTGCATGTAGAGTCACCTGAAAACTTCTCAGGTATGCTCCTTTAGGCTCCTTTCCCAATTGTTTACCCTTTTACTCGTATTGATATGTAAATTTGAAACTTCAGATATATCGGTATGCACGACTCAACAATATGATATCTTGTATGAATACAAAGGAAATGTTCTTCGTGAAAAGCAAGCTCTTGAAGCTGCTGCACACTTAACCAAGGAGGAAAACTCTGTCGACCTTCTTCTTGATGCCTTGCCCGAAGATGCCCATACTAAATCATTACAAAATGCGGCGATGTCTATCGCCAACCTTCTCAATCCAGCCCGTGAGTCCTGTTCCCATACAATATCTAATATATACTGACATATAACTTACCTTTTGTAGCTGTAGCCGAGCATCATAACCAAAAATCGAATGAGTTGGCAAGCGACATAGCAATTGGTCCTCTAGTTATTGAGAGTAAGCTCATTGAGGCTAGTCTAGTAGCTATCAGAAAACGTCACGACAGCCAGGTTGTGAAGCACAAGGGAAATGAGCGAAGCCTTACTCATCCAGACGAACTACAATCAGAATTTACAAGCACAACTAAGAGTGGTGGTGCGAAAGCCAGTGCGTGTTCAAAGATCATCGCTGTCTGCTTCAAAAACTTAGAAGAAATTCCAACTGGGGAAGCGCGTCGCCACCGATGGAATATCAATATCAAGATTAATCTATCTGGCATCGTGAAAAATACTGCGACTTTGGGTCAGATCGAATTACAAGGCCTTCTTGAAGGCGGGGAAATCAAGCCTTCAAACCCTATCAAACCCGGAAGCTTCATCATTGCGATCAAGAATCATGTATGTCTATTTCACAACTTTAGTCATAATAACTCGATCACATTTCCTGATCCTGATGGATTTTTACTCTTTAGAATCTGTACTTGGCACGAACACTTGTGGTCTACAAGCTTCTCAACAAGAAACACGCGTTTGTGACAAGTGCACATGCGCGGAAAGGGTTATCACACATAGCCGTACAGATCCTTTTCTACAATCCAGCCTTCCCGGTCATAACGCCGACTGAAGGTTCCAAGACATTGACTTATTCCCTCTTAGATGCTACTGATGTAGTATATGTCTTTGGACCATCGGCGGGTTCAACATTCACATCCGTTGGAGAAGGTTGCTATATTATTCCGCCGGTCATACGCAATATGCTTGGCTCTGTTCATCTCAACAAGCTTATTGACCGTTATTACAATGAGTTGGCCAAAATGAAATCTCAGGCTAAAAATGGAGATATTTCTGATGAAGAATGATTATATAAATAAAATGGAAGTATCCTAGTAAATCCTCATAAAGTTTGATCATATTGCAATAAAACAAAATGTTATACATGAGGCATTTAAATGTTATACACGAGATATTCATGATAAAGAATGATTATATAAATACAATGGTTGTAAATCCTCATAAAGTTTGATCATGTTGCAATAAAATGAAATGTTATACACGAATGTTTGCAACTTATGTGTTTTTTTAAGTATTATCGGGTTTTTTTTTTTTTGAGGTACGTGACCTAAAAGGGGATTTTTTGGGGACAAAATACCAAAAACCAGGTTATGTACGTGACCTAAGAGGGGATTATTTAGGAACTTTTCGAAAAGTTTCCAGAAAAATGGGTATTTCCAGGTCACGTACATTGGCAGGTGCATTCCTGGGTCCTTTTGTCGCCCCCACCCCTTCAAGTCCCTATCACAAAAAAATGCCTAGGATCTCAGCTCGCAGGCAGCTCTTATCATCTCTTGATGCCATGATCTTACTTCAAGTCTCTCTTCTTGCGTCCACCACAACTGTGTCTTCACCCACTACCGCGACTTTCATTCCAAACTTAATTTCCTGTCTGATGATGGTGTCTTTCATGAATTCCGACGACAATGACGAAATCGATGAATCAGACGATAACATTGGCCATCGAGAACTTACTTTCATATTTGCTTACACGGTCATGATGTTAACTACCTTGGAGCAGGGTGCCTACATCAACAAACGAAAACAGAAATTGGAAGCAGACGAATCAATTCTAGGAGTCCTTTTGACGATACAGGAAGAAGCAAGAAGAAGAAGATACCCTCTTCCCAGACATCGCAGGCCTTGTTGTAGTCAGAAGGCTCAGTGTTTTCAAGATTGGTTTGATGAGACTGATCGCACTTGGATGTCAGTTGTGAGTTCAAGAGATTTGTATCTCCAAAGTAGTATGTTCAGGGTTTGATTTATGATCTTCCTTCTCAAACGGTCTTAGGCACATATTCGAAAGGAAGACTTCACGAAACTTCTCCACCAAATAGGATCATCTCCTATCTTTTATAATAATTCAAATCATGACCAGGATCCGGTCCAGTGGCAGCTATTGGTGACATTGGCAAATTTTGGGTTATCGGGCAATGGAGGCTCCCGTAATATGAAGGCAAAAACTTTCTCTGTGTCGGGTGAGTCCATGTCAATCTGGAGTAGCAATCTCGCCGAACTGATCTTGAACTGACCATGTTGAACTTTTGCAAGAGGGAAGCGTTGATAATTACACTAAACGGTGCATCATTGCAATTCTTGAACTTGAGTCGGAATATGTACGATGGCCGAATGCCGAAGACCGAGTGGCAATTAAGAGACGAATTGGCCGAACATCTTGGTTTCAAGATTGTGTCGGTTTCATTGATGGAACTCTGGTGCCTTTAGCAGCAGCTCCCTCCAAAAATAAGGAAGACTACTATACTCGAAAGTCCATATATGCCTTAAATTCACTTATCATATGTGACGATCAGCGAAGGGTAATCTATGCCCATCATGGGTGGTGTGGGAGTGCACACGATCAACGCGTGCTGAAGTCTACTAACGTGTGTATTTCTCGTATTTCTCAAGTGTCTAAATATCACATTCATACTGACATGTATATTTCAGTTCTACAAGGATATGCCCTCTTTCTTTTCGGAGGGAGAATACATTCTTGCTGACTCAGGATATGCGTCTTCGAAACACATTGTTCCGGTATTCAAACGATCACGTTTTCAAGGGCTTGCACCGTCCCAAACTCACTTCAACAATGCGATTTCGAAAATCAGAATCGCTTCTGAACATTGCAACGGGATGTTACAGATGCGCTTTGGTTCCCTCCACGAGCTACGACTGGCAATCAGCAACGCAAAGGATGCAGTCTTTGTATGTGATTGGATCTCTGCTTGTGTAGTTGTACACAATTTTGTAATCGTTGAAGGTACACCGATGGCAGGAATCAATTTGAATAACAACAGTGATTTGGACTTCATAGACGACACTATAGATCATACAGATGCAGCCCTTAGAAGGGCTGAGTTGGAGTCAGTTGGATCTCAACGTCGGAATTCTTTATTCCGTGCCTATTGTATTGACAAAGGCTATTGATATGTATAACCTCGGTTCTTGTGTCTTTTTTTTTCGATTTTGTTTGTATTTCATTTCTTACTTTCTTTTGTTGTGTCTGTGTCTCTTTTTTTTCTTATGAGTAATCAAAAAGATCAAAAGTTGATCTTACTCACCGTATCAGAAATGAGGCAGGCAAACAAAGTCTTATGAAATTTGGTCAAATTTCAAAAGACAAACAAATCCAGCATAAGAGAGACAGACACATCGATTTCAACATTTGAACACACAAGAAGACAACTTTTTATATTTTTGGAACAATTCCTGTTGAGCTATATTAGGGCGGTTCAGGAAGAGACCCGCGAACCCCTGTGACGCAGCGCGCCGAACTGGTTTTAAAAGTTGGTCCGCAACTTATAAAACCGGATCGCAAAGCTCCAACAGACCTAATTATAAGTTTTAAGTCTGGGCCAAATCAGGGCCAACTGCCTTGATTTCTTTTTTTCTTGCTTCCAACGTCTCATTTGATTGTTTTTTTTTGGGGGCTTTTGTTTTTGATGACGTGAACATGGTTTGTTCAGCGGTTGAAATGAAGATGAATACGAAAGGGCCACGTCCCCAGTTTGCCCATTTCCTACATTTTGTACACTTCCATCTTTCTACTGTGCTTTTCTTGATCTGCAACTATGCCCCGAATCTCCGATCGAGTCGCTGTCATACGCGAACTTACCAACCTCACTGTCGTTGCTCACATGGATTCCAATCTCCAGTTACCTGGCCAACCACCCAATCCCCTCAACCCAACAGACGGCCAGATGTTATTCGACTCAGACCTTGAGATGGCCGAAACATACGACATGTTGTTCAATGAAGAACAACAGTGGTCTGACCTTCTAGCCCAAGTGATCTCAAAACGCTATCTACATGATCGAATACAATTGCCATTACCGACGGTGTTTGACTTGCGAGATATGCTCCGCTCACGACGCACAGATTTCCGACAGGCCATGCGAACCACCCCAGAAGGGTTCCAAGCTCTACTCGAATTGATCAAATCTCATCAAATTTTTGTCTCATCTGGAAACCATCGTCAGCCCCCAGTGGAAAAGCAATTGGCCATTACTCTCGAAAGGCTTGGAAGCAATGGGAACGGAGCATCAGTTGGGCGCTTTGCCCGCAACTACAAAGTGGGTCGCGGCTCAGTAATCAATTGTACTCGCCGGGTCATATCGGCAATTTTGGACATCGGCGCCCCCTATCTAACGTGGCCTACATCAGAAAGACGGCAAGGGATCTCTCACGTCATGGCTCGAGAGGGATTTCCCGGTTGTGTGGGATTCGTGGACGGAACAACGATACCCCTTTTTCAACGCCCTGGCCGTGATGGTGAAGTCTTCTTCGACCGCAAGCATCGCTACTCCATCAATGTGCAAATAGTTTGTGATTGCGACCGGCGGATCACCTATGCTTACGCAGGCTGGCCTGGATCATGCTGTGATAGCACGGTTTATTCAAAGACCGAGATTGCAAATCACCCGGAAAGATACTTCGATCAAGGTATGTGATGAGTTTATTTCAGCTGGTCATCTTCACAAAAGCTGACATTTCCACAACTTCAGATCAATATATCATAGCAGATTCCGCCTACAATCCATCCGTTACGGTAGTTCCATCCTACAAAGGGCAAGCTGCTGAAGTCGAGCGCAATAAAGAATTCAATTGGTGTGTTGCAAAATCACGAGTTCGCAACGAGCACGCAATTGGAATTCTCAAATCCCGTTGGGCCTCGCTTCAAGGTTTACGACTAGCTTTGAACACTCGCGCGGATATGAAACACATCCTCAAGTGGGTTCGATGTTGCATAATCTTACACAACATGTTAGCCGACCTGGGAAATACTTGGACCGAAGAACATGATGAATTGTTAGCGGAGCCAGGTGAAGCTGGGCGGCTGCGAGGTGGTCAAATTGGCGATCTTGCGTTTGTTGAACGAGGAAGGGCACACCGGGAGAAGGTTCGAGACTACGCAGTGGCTTACAACTGGCAGAGCGGTGGACTCCCGATTGTGCAATGAATGGTCTCAGTCTTGATGAGTGCGATAGGGTGTCATCTTGTTCTGATATTTGTCTTACTCGATCGCTATATGTTTGTTGTTTGTTTCAATTGTCTTCTGCTCGTTGTTGTTTGTTTCGCTCGTCTTCTGGTGCTCTTCTGCTTGTTGTTGTTTGCTTCGCTCGTCTTCTGTTTCTGTAATTTTTTCTTTGGTATTGTAACTCTTGGTCAGTGTGCAATTAAACATAAGTGACTAGTGCGATTTCATGAATGGTAGCCACCTTGAGTATCGAAACAGTCTGGTCGAGTGGATTTGATGAGTATTGAAAAAGTTTAGTCGAGTGGATTGGACTCGACTAAGTTTTCTATTTCGAGTACTTCAATCAGTTTGGTTGTGTAGAACGATTGCGAAGGCTACAGGTGAGTGTCATTCTTGACAAGGTGGGATTTTAATTACTTCGGTCACTTTGGTTGTGTAGAAAGGGTCTCATGGCTAAAGTCATCAAAATAGACAGACAAACAAGGAGGATGTCATTTCAAGCTCGGACACCAGACATCAAACTACTAAATGAAGAATACAAAAAAGGGCAATCGAGAAAATACATATAATATGAAAAATATAAGGACACAACATGACAGAGGTCGGGGTTAAATGAAATAGAGTGAGAGTGAGAATCAACAAAGAATGGGCAATGAGAAAAGACAAACGAGTTGAAGTTGAAATGACTCAATAAGTAATGGATTGGTACAAAGCTGTGAGAAAAGACAAACGAGTTGAAGTTGAAATGACTCGATAAGTAATGGATTGGTACAAAGCTGCTGATATAGAGAGGGAACGAGTGATAAAGACCAAGGCAGAGTGTTGTTATGAGGGCCCTCAATATTGTCATACCCAATCCGAATGCCTGTATTCCACACAACCGAAGATTGGAGTGAACGTTCATTCAAATGTACCAAACTGAGATGATGTGATAACAATACGATTGAAAGAGAAAGACTTACACAGGAACCTCAGACGGGTATACCAGACGCAGGAAGGCATCGAGCTCTTGGGGGGTCTTGCCTTCCAAGACCAAACGCTCACAGAAAGCCTTCCGCTCTTTGAGTGCTTCTTGTCCCAAACGTCTCTCTTCGGCTTCACGTTGATCTTGTCGTTCAAGGTAATACTTCTCCTTGTCCCAGGTGAGTGTTAACTTACGCGCTTCTGATTCGGCTGCCAAACGAGAGGTTTCCATCTCTTGACGCCAGTTGTTTGCTTTGTTCAGTAACTCGAGCTTCGCTTCGTTACCTTGCTGGATCGCCATGGCCAGCGCATGTTTGTGTTCTTTTCCATGAACATGGGCAGGATCAATTGAAGGAAGGGGGTCCACTGGGCGACGTGCGAGAGTTGAACGAGAGGCCGAACCACGGCCAGAGGGCACTTGGGTCACCGCAGTTGTAGTCGTCACCGCATCGTCATCAGAGCTCGAATCAAGAGCTCGCTCCTGGTCAGTTAGAGCATTCACTCTGCTGGCATTTGAGGATTTCTTGGTTCGACGAGCTGGATGAGTATTGGATAGGTATCGAGCCGGTTTTTTAATTGTACTAATGGCAGATGTACTAATGGCAGAAGCCGGCTCGGCTGTGGGATTCTGGCTCGCATGAGGGCTGATTGGGGTGATGTCTTCAAATGTATTAGGTGTAGGCGCACGACGAGGACGGTTGTTGTGTTGACCATCATCTTCCGTATAATTGTCATCAAATCGGGGCTCAAAGATCCCAGTGAAAGTTGGAATTTCTTCTTGATCTTCAATCAAGTTTACTAAATAAAGATACCGAGATTGAAACGAAACACATAGGGAAATAACCGATCAAACAGAATATCAGAATGAGAATGACCGAGAGAATCAATGAAGAGGAAGTCCAAAATCACTTACTTTGGCTTGCTTGAAGCTTTTCGCCAACGTCCATCATCTTGAGGAGGTCATGATCATGGCCATCGGAGATGTCGCCGTCACTACCAACATCAGCCAATTGTCCACCTTCATCTGCGGAGGAATCATGCGGGCCAACCCCGCTGTCGAGAATATCAAAAGGAGTAATGTTGCCTTTCTCACCAAAAAGGGCGTCCATTTCGTTATAGCAGGGACACATCGATTCGAGAAGCTCTTCCATGGTGTGAATACCCTCGGCCACGTTCTTGGCCGAGAGGCCACTGCCAGTATTTTTGCTGAAAGCCTTTGCCGCCATGTACTTAGATTTGTACCGTTTGAGACGCATGTGTAAAACTCGTCCGTTCAATCGCATTTTAGTTGAGTCGTTGCGGACGTTGTAATTATTGTTGAGTTCAATTGCAAGCGGGTTCAACAACGTCTTCGGATTCATTGCCATTCCGGTTACCCGAGTTTGGCTGCCTCCACCAAAAATAGCGTTACGGGTGTTTGGTTTAGACAGAAATGCAATGATTGTTTGATAATCTACGAGGTCAAAAGGAGGGCTGTCACGAATGATTTTGGAAGTGGTGGCTGATGAAGTGTTTGATGTGTGCTGTTGTGCCGCGAGTCGGGAGCGTTTGACATCGGCAGCAGTGGGTCTTGACCCCGATGGAAGACCTGAACCGAAATGCTTCAAATCAGCCTCAATCTGGGCTTTTGTTCGGCGGTTGCGAGGAGTCTATCAGACGCATCAAGGAAGCAAAGGTAAGTTTCTGATATATCAAAGAAATTGGTATGGACTACGCTCGATTCAACTGACCTTGCCTCGGTTTTGAGATTTAGGCGCCATTAGGAAGTGCTGAGAAAGAAAGCGTTTGGTAAACACGACGTAAAAGGTGATATTCCAATGGACTTGATTGAAAGGGGATTGATAGCAAGAGACTGATACAGTGCGCTAGATAGCTGTTTGGTGGGGATGGGCAAATAGGTTCGAATGGAAGAAGATTCAATGGCCGTTGCGAGTCAAGAAAAGCAAGCAGTAAGAGCTTCAAAGGGTTGGAGATGATGTCTGAGGCAGAAGGGATCGATGTTGGAAAAGCAATTGGGGCTGATATATACTTTGGATGAGTTCAAGTAGGAGAAGGGCTTGTCGCGACTGGTGTCATGGTATGATCAGACGTTCGATGAAAGTCCTGATAGGTTATGAAGATCTAGTTCGACCGGGTTGCTGGATTCGAGCCTTTTTCAAGGGCATGATATGAAGTGAAAGCTTTGTTCTTTGAGTCCTAGTGTGTTTGAAGTGGCGGCCCGGTTGATTTGGTATAATGATATGAAAGAAGTTGATTCCTTTGGTGTCCAAAGACGCAAAAGGAATCCTCCTCATTCCTTTTGTGACCTCAGGGGTGATATCCAGCAGGGCCGGTCATGAAGTGTTTCATTACTCGGCCGGGTTTTTGGGCCAAAATCTTTTGTTAATGAAAGAGGTGTCATTTTTTTTTCCTTGTTTGACAGGGACACCGGTTATTTCAAGGGACAAAAAAAGAAAAAAAGAAAGAAGGAATCAATCTTTTTTTTTAATGTTGGGGCCTGAAAATCTTAAAATTTTTATGGCGCGATTCCAGATCGCAAAACAGTGATTCACCTTTAAAGGTGGTTCGCAATCTTAGATTTATAATTTTAATTTAAAAGTTGCGATCTGTTTTTAAAATCTAAAAATTGGCTGTAAAAAGCCTTCTTGAACCGCCCTATTGGTATACCACGGATATACAGACATCTTAATTATCTTTTATTTTCATTTTAAACAATCTTGATTTGAGATTATGAACCTGATCCGGAAGCCAAGGATTGTGAAGGCTCAACATCGGGTAACACACGCAAAGCAAAGGCCTCTGCCGCCTCTGGAGCCATGTTTTTACCAATGAGTTCCATAACCATTTTTCCGCGAGCAATGCGCAAGTCTGCATTTATCTCGGCAAGTCGAATGATTTGTTTCGTTTTCAATTCATTGAGTCGATTAGTATTGATGATATTCGACATCGCGTTGGTTATAGTTGTGCTGAGATTTTGTTGAGCTAGTGCAGCTCGAGTCTTGCTTGCCTCACGTTCTTCTTTGGTGGGGATAAGATTGGCTATAGAATTGATATTGAATGAGGTTTGAGGGGAATCCTTGCTCTTGATCTCGAAAGCGCTGGGAGACTCCTTAACACGGAGTCGCTTGCTAGATGGATTTCCAACCAACGGGGTGACAGATCGAACCGGTCTCTTGGAGACTCGAATACTGGGTGTTTTGTGTTCTTGGGATGATGTGGCTTCATCTGCCAAAGAAGGATCAATCGCTACATCTCGCTCGTCGTGAGGTGGAGTTTCTTCCCATATGTCATAAGGCAAGGTTTCGGTAGGAGTCGGACTACGGATGTTGTCTTTGTTTGATTGAGTTAGAGGTGTTGAGCGGTGTATTTCGTTACCGAGCGAATCCTTTGTGGCCAATGGACGGGCAGATGGTCGATCTCGAAACACTGGCTCGAGTTCCTCATACCAAGGACACTCACGTAGTATTCTTACTGTTGAATACATACAGCCAGTGAGTATATATTAACTAAATAGACAAGTGGAAGTACGTACCTTGCAGACTGCCACCAACATTCTCTTGTTTCTTGCGCTTCATAGCCAATTTGAAAGTATCGAGCTCAGCCTTCGACACTGTGAAGTGAAAGTATTCATCGGAATCATTCCCCTCGCCAGTTGCCTTTCGGAGACCATCAGCTGTCATGAACCAAGCCTCGAGTTTTTTAATCTACATATCATATTTCAAAGTTAGCAAAACCCGAATCTAAACACTTTCATACTGATGTATTCACCCTTACTTTTTTTTCGCACTCTCGACCTGATCTGGCTGAATGACCCATTTGTACAATAAAAGCAGCCACCCTTTTGCGAACAACAACCTACCTTTGCGTGCGCCATGCGTTGTAGTTCTCGAATACGCTGCACCATTCGGCAACAAGGTCCATGTCTGATTTGCCATCGCTATCCGGGGTGAACCAGCATCTTTTAGACTCATTTGGGTCCAAGTCTTTGCTCTTGTCATCTTGAGTGTCATCTTGAGATTCACGTGTTGTTTCATTTTGAGTTTGAGAGGCGGGATTTTGAGACGCAGAACCAGGTTGAGATGCTTGGATCGATCTGGGTTTTGCGGGAGTTTTTTTTTGAGAAGGTGGTGCTGCTGATGCCTTTCGAGGTCGTCCTCGCTTCTTAGGTGCCTCAGGATTGGGGATAGGTGTTTCAGGTTGTTTGGGAGAGGCCATAGGTGTTTCGGGTGGTTTGGCTGGTAGTGAAACAAGAGATGATGTGACCGGATTGATCTGGTGAAGATGTAACCAAGCCTCTGGGGACAGGGTTGGTACTGGGAAAGGAGTTGCCACTTGATTGGCCTGAGATTCCGGTGGGCTTGCTTGAATAGCAGCTAATGGGATTTGAATAAAGTTTGTTGGAGTTGGTGTGGGTGTGTTTTGCGGGCCTGGTTGTGGCGGAGAGGGAGAGGTAGTTGAGTCCATACTTCTGTACAACTCATTTTTTTTTGGACGTGGGTTTTAGATCTGGATGATCTTGACCCATCAAAAAAAAACCCGTTCTAAAAACCCGAAAATCAGATGGGTTTTCATGGGTTTTTTACACGGGTTTTTCTGATGGGTTTTAATTTTGTGTACCGCTGTTGAATAAGAATTGATAATTAAAATATTATTTTTTCGTAAGAAATCAATCGGGTTGAACTTGTGGGGTTTTTTCATGGATGAGAATTAGATGAATTTGATGAAAGTTGGCATTCGTTTTATTTCATCTTCTCTTATACTAATATAGGGGACAAGGGATAGGGTGTTGTACATCATTTTTAGAATTTGTTTTGAGCTTGATAGGATTCAAGGGTTTGAGGTTTGGATTAGGACCATTAAGAAGTTAGGGAAAAAAGGAAAAGGTTTTCAAAGATCTTTAAGACTTGAAATGTTTTTCAAGTTTAGGATTTTCCGGAGGGATTTCAATTTTTTGATACTCGAGCTTGGATTGGTTGATCAAAGGGATTATCCTTTGTTTCTTGTGAGTTTTCTTGGGTTGTCTTTTTCATCCATCTCAACTTTATATTCTTTTTCTCAGCGTAACAGTCTTCTTCATCCTTGGATTATAGTCCTGCTCTCTTTTAGGCATAAAGACACAAGAAGCATTCGGCTAGAACAGGTCTTCATCATACATATTATAAAGACAATTTTGAAGAAGTTTTCTCTGTCATTTACCCTTTATCATATTTGATTGTTTTCAAGTTTGGCATTGGATAATCGATAGAAGATTCAAGATAAATTACGCCTCCCAGCAACAAAATGGTCTTAGCGCGCCCGAGTCTCACGCGCCTGTGATGTGCGTTTTCTGCGCCGCTCCCACAACCACTGGACTCGACTCTCGAGTCAGCAAGGATCGAAAAGGAGTACATACCAGTTGAGGCTGAAACCTTGCTCCGCCGAATCTTATCGAGTGTCATGTTTGATTTTTATCGTACCGTATACTTATTTATTAGCATTCATTCGAGAAACGAGCCTCAGGATTGCGACGGATTGATCCATTAATTCGAACTCTTGCTCGAACTGGATGGAAATCTCGCTTGCTTCGATTTGATTCACATATGCCGATGTTAACGACGTTGTGTACACACGAGAGAACGTTCAGTCCGCATTCGCAGTCCACAAAGGATATGCAAACCACTCTAAGGAGGTGCTGAAGGGCTCTTTCCTTGTGAACGTTCATCTTTCGCATTCAAATTGGTTCGCGACCATAGCCGAAAGAAGAGAATTTCGTATTCAGGAATGTCTGCAAAGAATTCAGCGAGAGATACCATGAAGTACTCACCATGCTGCGCTTAAAATCCTAATGAGTTGGTCTCAAGCCATCATCTATTCCGAGATGTCTTTTGCGGTCTTGCATCACTTGACGTCCATCTCAGAATTGATCAATCTTTCAAAAGTATCAATGTCATAGAAAGTTCGACTTGAGATCGTTGTTCGGAGTTCTGATGGTCCATTTCTATATCAACGTGATCAAAGGTTCTGTCCATGAGTAAGAAATGAGCCTGTATAAAATGATTGCGATCGGACCAGCCAGATCAGCATTGTCAATTTTGACCATGACCCCCGCAAGCACAACAGCATTTATTGTGATAAGATGCTCCCCACTGAGCATAGTGCAGCTAAAAACACTATTGCATTGAGTGCTGCCATGTGTATGATCAATCACTTTGAAGGTTGACCTCTTCGAGATGCTCCTCACGATCCGAGGCCTGGGTTTGAAGAGATTAATAGAACTTGAAGAAGGTATGTTAGGATTTGTACCGCACTCTACTCCAGTTTAAGAATCTATCAAAAACTTTAATTAGGTTTTCAGATTTTCAATTGTTCGTGAATATTTTATTATGATATAAGGTCTGAAATCTTGAAACCTGAATTTGTACTAACAAATGGCATGATTGCCAAGAGGAAAACTCATAGAACCAGTACAGTAGGGTTTACCGCACCATGTAACTGTCAAGGTTGTGAGATTTACGTTGGGTTTCTTTGTTTTCGAATAAGAGTCATGATAAGAAACTTGTATGATAACTGTTTTATTTATCATAAAATGTGTCATTGTTTTCTGGAAAAGTTGAAAGAATTTATCATAAACTGATGACCAGTCTTACTAAAATGTAACAAATGAGCTTTAGAATAAAAATGCTACAAAACCTGATCAATCTTTGACTGGTTATGACAACCTCGAATTCCGAAATTCAATAGCTCTTGGATATCTTATATTCCCCCAAAAAAATGCTACAGAAAACTTGAGATCAGGTAGATTAAGTCTTGTGTGAAGGAGAACATAAGATATTCGATCAATAGAATCTGAGAAAAGAGTTTCTATTATCTTATCTCTTTTTCACACTTCAAGGCATAAAAATGACAGAAAAGATGATTTGCAATGTGTCAACAAGCAACCCTTGTATGAAAAGATAACGTAAAAATGTGCGATGAATAGTCAGTGCCATCGCTAGCCCTCGCGGCGAAATCCTACAGACTAACGCGGTTCACCGGAACGGTACATATTATGAGGGAAAGCATTTGCTCCATGCCAGCGTTTACAAAGCGGAGTACAACGTAGACCTGAGCATCAACGCAACTATAAAAACTCTAGCCGAACAGAGGCCGTACCACACAACGGCACAATAGCGTCCCATATGACACAGGCTCCGTTACCGGTGACATGTTAATGTCAGACTAAGATACTGAACAGTTTGCTGTCGCCACTCTTCTCGAGGCCCGTCCTGAAAGTGGATCCCCATGTACGACGTATATACCCATTGACTGAGCATGTATTGTGAGATAAATTATCAACGCTTATTAGATAGATGTTTTGAAATAAGGTAGACCAAAGACATGTGATCAGTCTTTAAGCCTTATCGAACGATGGATTTGATATATATATATATCTCTTTGCAGTCATATACATCGACTTCAAGAGTGAATTTTGATCGACACAAGGTTTGGAAATAAAGGAGTTGCGATCGGCTCGATGTGATGAAGCTTGAGCTGCTTGATTGTTCAATTTGGTTTCAATTTGGTTGAATCAGGTGAAGGGACCCGTTGACGACTGAATTAAAAATGACTTGAGATCAGCTCTAGTGGTTGCCTGATTCATATGAGTTGGTCTTGGAATAAAGAGTCCAGTGAGGCTGACATCACTCGCTTCAGCTGAGGTTACAAATGGACGAAGCAAATACTTTGGCCCAGGGTATCTTTGATGGAGATTAAGTAAAACCTAGAGATCTCGATGATGGAGGATGGTGATTTTCATCGTCAGATTTTGATGAATAGAAAAGTCAAACAGATGGTTTGTGATCGGACTTGAAGGAAAAAATGAGTCGATTTGAATATCCATCAGATCACAAAGTCCGTTTCTTGGAAAAAGGGTTTTTCTCTTAATTTCTTGTTATAACTTTGATATTTTTAAGGGATCTTCAGCTGTAAAAAAGATGAGAAAGGTTTTTGACGCACCTAACAGACTTGTAAGATCCTTAATAAATAAGACAGCCAAATGTCAGGGCTTAAGATGATCAAGGAGATAACCGCGGGTTATCATGAATGTCTGATTGACTTTTTCTTACCACGAAAATTATAATTCCTTGATCTCGTCAGCAATCTTGGGGGTGAGCCCAGATCGCCTCGTGAAGGTAGTCTCACTTTTGCGGAGAGTTTCTGAAGAAAATACGTAATTAGTTTGGCTAAAAAGGTGTAAACTTCTTGGTAGTTATTTGGCCGAGTACCAGTGATTGAAAACTGAGGAGGGTAACATGGATTCTCAGATGATGGTGAAAAATCATCGGTTTACCACGAAACTGATGAATTGAGTTTTCGGCAAGCTGATTCAGTTTGACTCTTCTCTATCTTAACTACGACATCAGACCTAGTAAATCCTTGAAATGTTTTTTTTCTTGGATGGTTTATCAGAGAGTAGAACCTTCAAAAAATTTTTTGGATCTCGATCCTAAAAAGATGTAAAAAAGCTTCCTTGTCGCGTGATTTCTTTGGAAGCTTTCAAAAAATAAGCAGCTCGTGATCTTCTATTTGGAAAATCCCAATAATAAGTAGCCTTTCGAAAATTCACTCAATGAGGTAGGGCGTTGTTATCTTGGATGAGCTACTAGGAAACAAAAATTTCCACCTTATCTTGGATCTTCACCTTCAAAGAGTATACAAGGTTTCTTCTCACGTAATTTCTTTGGAATACTTCAAAACATAAGCAATCTGGTATCTTCTAATTGGAAAATCCCAATACTTGTTTACCTTGCGGGCAAAAACTGCTGAGTTACAAGGATCAAAATAAGTCACCTAAATCCCTACTTTGATCTCTATAAAATCTCAACCTCAATCCTTGGAAAGTTTTACGACTTCTTTCTCTCTAACTACATCCCCAAATCCCGAGTCAAAAATCCAATTGTCTTTCAACGGTCTTCCAAGACTTCATTTTCAGTTGTATATTCACTTCCAGCTTATTAAGCTCTATAACCCTTTCGATTTACCTGCGTTTCGCTATATCCAATCAAATGGATGACCAATCTGTAGTCCCGTACTTTCAAGGAGCTTATTCCTATTACCAACCTCAGGCTACATGGCCAGTGAACATGAATACTCAAATCGGAGACCAACTTCAAGTCTTTGATCAGAACATCAGTAAGCAAATAATCCACTGGAACTTGAGATAGCGATGTATCGACTTACCCTTTATGGTTCTAAACTTACCTTTTCTAAGCAGCCAGCTACAACCACTCTTCGCACCATGAAACTGGAATGATGACATATCCTGAACAAAGTAAGCAAACCATTGATTTTAGTTTGACATCTTTATGGATGATGCGCACACTCATCTCCGTTCTATGACTTCAACTTTTCCTATGTCAAGCTTCTAACTTAGTTCTGAACTCATACCCTGTATACCCCGCTTACGACACTGGTCTGGCATATCGTAAGCAAACAATTGAAGCTCTCCGAGAATGATGCATCCATTTACGCTTTATGATCTCAAACTTACCGGTCCTCATCAGCCAACTCCGATAGCACTGGCGTCTTCACCAACCCTTATGAAATCGGAGCTCTTGATCCCTACCAATGTAAGAGAATTTTAATGATTAAATGTGGTATGACATTTGTCTGAATGATGTTCTCATTTACACTTTTTCGATCTATATCTACTTGTGGTTAACAGCCAACTCAGTCTTGAGCCCATCCTTTATCCAGACTTCTGGCTATGAAGCTTCGACATTAGCTGGACAACGTAAGTTGATCATTTTTACTTGATCCTCCTTTGATAGATACCGTACTCATCTTCGTTCCGATAATTTAAATTTACCTGTGCTAAGCACCCTGGCCCAGCTCGGGTGAAACTACTCTACCCGTCACTTCCTATGAGGACGGAGCTTTCTTATACCCATACCAATGTAAGCAAATAGCTCATTATAATCTGATATCTCTCTGAATTATGTACTGATATACATTTTGTGGATTTGAACCTATAGCGGCCAACTTATTCTTGGACTCAACTCTCACCCAGAATTCTAACCAAGGAGCATTCACGTTCACTGAACAATGTAAGTAAATCATCGATTTCTCTGAATAGCGTACTGATCTCCGCTGTACAATTTCAAAATCATCTTTCCTCAGTGCCCAACTTGAATAACGCTCTACCCTTCGTGGATCCCTATCATAATCCAGTTCTGATCGCTGCAGAAGGATGTAAGCACTTCGTCATTTATAATTTTATCCTTATCTAACTGATATACTCATTGGAACTTTACAACTTCACAACTATCTGTTTCAAACATTCAACGTAGACATTGGTCAACCGTCGGTCAACCCTGCTCGCAATGGAGGAATGGCTTACCTTGAATCTGCTCCATCCACCCAACCACATGACCCACTGTCTGGGATGGCTCACATCAACTTGACGCCAGGATTGCCAATGGAAGGTGCTTCCCATCCTATTCCTTTTGATAGCGGATTGATCCAAGCTCCTGTTGCTACGAATAAACCAAGTCAGTGAAAAGGTTCAGAATATCTAAGAGAGTTGTGATTAGGAATAGAATTGATTGATTAAAGATTTTCAAATTCTATTGGACAACTTTCTTTTCATCAAAAACGAAAAACCTAACAGGGAAACAACTCCCTCGTTGTCAGTTTGAGGGTTGCAGAAAGACATTTCGTGATGCACATAATTTGAGGATTCATCAGTATAAGCATAAACCAGCAAGTTGTTCGTATTATTTTTCTCACCTCATCTCTCATCTACCATCTCTCTTTCTCATTTTCTTTTAAAAAAATCAAATCAAAGGTCTGATCGTTGGTTTTTTTTTTCATCATATCAAGACTTTTGTCCCAAGGAAGATTGTGGAAAAAAATTCAAATTCCCATGGGATCTGCCCCGACATGATAGAACTGTTCATCAACTTCAAGAAGTTCCTAATAAGAAACAAAGGAAGACCAAGACTGAAAAATCAACGACTAAGAGAGTTCAAAAGAAATCAAAACAAACTTCTTCTTAAAGGATATTTTGGTCGCTTATTACCAATCAAGGACTCTCTGTTCACTTCCAGATCAAACTTTTATTATATAAATCTAGTCTTTTGTTCTTTATATGGTTGCTTAACTGATTGAGTTTGGAAGGAAATTCATTGGACTTGATCAATATCTTTTTTTCGATGCTTTAGTCTTAGAATTCCAAGGACTTTTTAACTTTTCTGTTTATCTTTCATTGTATTTCAACTCTCAATAAAAATTATAAAAAGGAAAAAAAATCTTTTTGAATTATTCTACATGATCTGTTTTCTTTTCCATACTTCCTTTGTAGCTCAATATATACTTGTAGACTCTTGGTAAAGCGCTATTATCAAAGTTGACTCGATTTTTTACAACGTTTTCTTGGACTCATCAGCTAGATTTTTAAAGCCATCCCATGATCTTATCTGCTTGACTTTACCTAAAGATACACTTCTGAACGCGTGTCCGACTTCTGAACCAAATGATCGTTGGGACAAGTATGATAGATGTGCATCTATGTGACTCTCCTGGTTAAAGCTGTTTACATTTTCAGTCAGCTTTCCCTATACCTTTCCCTATACACCCATATGTTATCATTCATTCATGAGACGTTTCCTGAGATTGGAACTAAACCAAGTCTGTGTAAATCTTTATATATATATATTCACATGAAAAATTTGGAATTCATATTCCAAAAATCACAAATAAAACAAGAAATATCAAAAGTTGAAAGCCGAAAGCCAAAAGCCAAAAGCCAAAAGCCAAAAGCCAAAAGCCAAAAGCCAAAAGCCAAAAGCCAAAAGCCAAAAGCCAAAAGCCAAAAACCCAGACCGAAAACCGAAAACCGAAAACTGAAAACCGAAAACCGAGTACCAAAAACCCAAAACCGAAGACCCAGCACTGAAAACCGAAAATCAGAAACCGTCAAGGATATTTGTAAAAATCTTCTACGCCCTTAGTTAATATGGATACTAACTAGGAGTCAAAGGCAATAGTGGTATAGAGAGATAGTACCGACAAGAGACCACTTGACCTTGGGATCTCAATGAACTAGCTCAATTTTTCGACTGAGCAAGGTGAATTTGCTCCGCATGAAATGTCAGGATCTCATTAGAGAAAGCCCAATTTCATAATTTATGCAAAAATTGATGAAACAGGGATTTCTTTTTCACATCTGAAGCTGCAAAATCGTTATGAAGTGAAAAGAGGACTACTGATATATCTTACCGAGGGAAGACAATTTTTTTACATGGAAGTTAATCCACTCTTGCTGATTTCTCTTCAACATCTGGTCTTGGTCAGTAGTAAATCTTGACTCAATGTTTTACATATTTGATTTTGCTTGGGGGGATAGAATTTCAGAGCGATTTTAGGTGAAAGGAGCCTTGAAGATGAATCCCAGATCACCTCCGATAAGGGGCCTAATGAGAATCTGGTATGAAAGTTTTACTTTTCAAGCTTGAAGAGTATTTAATATTAAGGGGTCTCAAGTGAAATATCTTATGACAAAAATAATCAAAACTGGAATATTTTTATGTTTTTTTGTTGTAAAAAGAAATTCCCGCTGCATAAAAATAAGTTACTGATTTTGAATTGCAAGGGTTTTTGAATGTACATTTATGTTGTATGAAAACCAGAGACTTTTATGTGCATCCGGTTTTCATAAAATTTATGTAAAAGAAAAGATCCAGGGGAATATTTTTCACGGTTTTGACCATAAATTATTTCAATTTCACATGACTTTAATTTTTCATTAATATATAAGAGAGAAGATTGGTATGTACTTCATATTCTATAAGATATAAGATTTCTTCATCTTTAAACCATCTTCTTCATCTCAATCTTGTAGTTCTAATCATACTGAGCCTGCAAATGAAGGATGTCAGGCAGAAAATATAAGACAAGAAAATGTTAGCTTGTTCATGATTATAGCTCCTTAAATCTCTTTTGACTTTGCATTTAATTTATTTCCAGGCCTTGAAAATCAGCAATCCCCTTAAAGGCTACTAGAGTAGTTGATCCTATCATCAGGCCTCCATCACAAGGGACCTCTCAACAAATTCCAGCTCCACCGATTCAATTACCTAGTCAGGTGCAGTATAATCATGAACACCTTCTGATATTTGGCTTACGCACCTGACTAGGTAATTGACTAGGTTGAGGTGGAAATCGTTGAGAGGTCCCTTGTGATGGAGGCCTGATCATAGGATTGACTGCTTTAATAGCCTTGACTGGGATTGCTGATTTTCAAGGCCTGGAAATAAATTAAATGAAATCCAAAGGCAAAAGAGTTTCACAGAGCTATGTATAATCATGAACAAGCTAACATTGTCTTGCCTTGTATTCTCTGCTGGACATCTCTTATTTACAGGCGCAGTTTGATTAGAGCTACAAGATTGAGATGAAGAAGATGGTTTCATGATGCAGAAAGCTTATAGAATTTATATTGTTTTTGGATTTTGAAAAGACTTGAGAAAAAATGCCTTTGAAGAGGTGATCGGAAAAGTTAGTCTATGGATACCACCAGATGATTGAATTTTACAGTTATCTTTTTCCAACTTTTATGGTCTCTAAAGAACAAAGCAGGTGAAATTGTATTTTATTTGCTGAATCTTCACTTTTACTGTCAGTCTCTTGCAACTACAGAAGTAATAATATGAGGTATTAATTATCTTATTTTCATTTCTTGGTTTTTGGCTTTCATTTCTTGGTTCTTGGTTTTTTGGTTTTCAATTTTTGAAATATGAATTTCAAATTTTCCTTCAGGAATAAATAACATGAATTCTTCAACTACTTGGGTATTTTTTCTCAACTACTTCAACTTTCTCACTTTGATAACTCATAATAAAAAATCCAAACCATTTGTACACCATTCATCAAATGTATTACTCATTGACATCTGTCTACTATGTAAAATCATAAACCAAACCAAAAACCAAAGAAAAAAATCAATCCAATCCCAAATCTTCCAGAAAAATACTATGCCAGAATTGTTTAAATGTATACTTCCAGAATGATCTAAATGTACAAAAATACCCAAACATTTTTTTCAAAAAAAAACAAAGAAAAAAAGAATTTTTCCATAAAAAACATAAATTCAATCAAATCAAATCCGGTAAATAAATAAACCTAAAGATATTTTAAACAACAAAAAAACTTCATGTTGATTTAATATTTTTTAAATGATCTACTTTTTAAATGATCCTATATTACGATATACATATAAGTATATATATTTATATTCAAGCTAACAATATCATCATCATCATCATCATCATAAGCACAACAATAAATTAAAAATACTTATAAACAAAAAGAAACACAAACTCATCTTGATGTATGTTGAGATGAAAAATAAGGTGATCATGATGTTTACATACTTACATTTTTTTTGATAATTTATACAAAACCAAAACCAAAAAAAACTTATCCAAATCTAAAACCTTCCAATCCTTAATTAAATATCAATCAACATCAAATTAATCAGACAAATCCAATGAGTTATGTTTTCGTTTTCCTTTAGACCCAAAAAAAAGAAGATGATCGAATCCTATTTCCTGAGTCATCCAAAAGCTTCATAAATCTTCTCTTCTTAATTAAAAACTACGTCAAATCCAATGGTATATGTCTCAAAAGAATATGATAAGCATCACAAATCGAACGAAAAGCGTCTTCTCGAGCTATGCAAAAAAACAAGTTCAATTTAAGATGATCTCATGATTCGATCAATCTCTTCATAACGACTAATCAAATCATCACTAACCTAGATATTCAATCACATTCCTTAATAACATAATCCGATCTTGTTGTCTCAACTTTAACTTGACCTCTGAAGGATTGCGATGCTCGCTACTAAAAGAAATCAACCCCCGCCCCCCAAAAAGGAAACACCACATCACAAAGAAATCAATCTTCCCAAGTCAACCGATTTCAAAGTGTCTGATTTTCAAATTCTTAATTCACTTACAATAAAGCACCTTGACCACTCCACAGATCCGAACAAAACTCTTCAATCTTCTTAACCGATTCATGTCTCATCAAATACCTTAAATAACTCATCAAACAAACCTCAAGTTGATTGGATTTGCCCAAAACCATCTCTCCATGTAACTTACTTTCTAGACCGAACAAGCTTTCTTCAATCCCTTCATTGACTTTCAAAATCACCCAATTCATCAGATCTCGATCAAACGTAAATGAACTTCCATTCGAGATTGTGATGATTGGTAATCCATTAGAGGTTAACGAGGTAGAAGTTATGGATCCTTTTGGAATTGATAAATCGTTTAGTCTAATCGGTAATCCTGCTGATTTTCCTTCTTTTACATTCCTAAATCAAAAAGAAAATCAAAGAATATATATATAAAATATGTCGATATTATGAAGAAAAAAAATTGGAATGTTTCAAATGAATTTCTTACCAAATCATTATGGTTCCATTAGAAGTGATGGCCATTAAAAACTGTTGATTAAGTTGTAAGATGCAACAAGCCGAATCCAAAGCGATCGTAGGTAAAGCTCTAGATAACAAAGAAATTTCTTAATCAAAGTACTGAGTAATACCTAAACCAAAGAGAAATCGTTTCGTAAACTCACTGTCTACCAGTGGGTGTGTAAACCAATAAGGTACCATCATCACAACCAATGGCTGAATAGGTTGGATTGAGTGAGATTGAAATCACTTGTCGTCCTATCACTTCATGTGACCATAACTCTTGACCTGAGTAACTTGACACCATTCGAAATTTCACTAAATTACAAAATTCATCAGATCGTCAGTATCGAATTAACATGATACTCAATTCAAACTCACCTCCAGAAGCTTCATCTATATTTCGACATTCTAATTTCAAGTTGGTATCCGGATGTGTGGCAGTAGCACTCAAAGACGGTTGGATAGGAGGGATTTCCAACCATGCGCTTTGTGGATTAGAAGCCATCGAAGTTCCTACCGTTTGCCTCGCAATCATAGACCGTGAATCTTCTACCATCAAAGCAGAACCTCGTCGATTAGGATGATGATCCATGACGGATTGAAGATGTCCATTGGGATGAGAATGCGATAAAGTGGATGGACGTAGTGGGTGGGTGGTGGATGCTGAAGGAAGTCCATTAAGTCCCAAAGGTTCTGCTGGGGTGATCAATCCATCAGGCACTGATGATGTATAACCCGAGATCATAGTAGCTTCATTTTGACCCAAGAAAACTGGTCGGATCCTCCTCTTACCATTAGGCATGATGGTCATCTGTTGAGGTAGATTGGGGATTTGTTGAGGATGAACTGAAGTAGCACGAACAGAAGTTGGGATCGAACCGGTTCGATAAGGTTCGACGGCCGGTAAGGGTGACATCATTCTGGAGCTTTGATCAGATTGTAATCTAGGTTGAACACGTCGATTGAGTTTTTCAAATGGATAAGTTTCTAAATATTTCTTTCTGACTTCGGGTGAAGTTAAATGAATGATCGACATGATTTCATCAATCACAAATCCAGCTACATGTCCTTCTGAAGAACAAGCATATAAAGTCACCCCATCTGAAGCCCAACTTAAATCCAGGATATCTCGATCAAACACATCATGTAAAACTACAATCGGTGAACTAAAGCTAGTTAACCAAATCGAAATCGAATTTCTTGCACCCAATGCTAATGCCGAACAAATATTAGGACCTTCGATAGGTTTGTTCTTATCTTTTAAAAACATATTAGGATTATAAGCTGCCACTTCCACCACGTTTTCATGACCGACCAACGAAATCTCACTAGTCCATTGATCCCTTTCGATAACTGCACTAACAAACACCGGACCATTCATCGCATTAGGTGTAACAATATGAGCCCCATCAGGTGACCAACTTAACCTTCTAAAGAAAGTCGAAGTAGGACATCCTACAAATGGATCTCGAATATCGGCTTCTAATTTCCAATCTTTAGTTCTCCAAATCTTAACCGTTCGATCATCCGATTGAGTAGCTAAATATTCTCCAACTGGATCCCATACTACTCCTTTGACAAAACCTTGATGTAGATCTAATCTTTTTAATAAACCAAAACTCGAATCTAATCCATCCCAAATCAAAACTAAATTATCTAATCCTACCGAAGCTAAGAATTGATCATCATGTGACCATGCTAAACCGGTAACATCAGTTGTATGACCTGCTAATCTTTTCCATGGTTTCCAATCTTCAATATTAGTTGTTTTTGCACCAAATGATTTAGATGGGTTTCCTGTTAAAGATCTAGTCAAAAGATTGTGATTATCAGTATATATATTCCGAATTGATTGACGGGAAAAATAGAATTTCAGTACCGAAACCATACCATAACAATGGCATCATCACTACTAGTAGCCAAAAACCGACCACTATATGCCCATCGAACACAAAGCACAGCACCTAATTTTCCAAAAAAAGATGATCCGAAATGTAAATTTTTTTAAAACATCAGTTTAAATAGAAAAAAGTAGCATGATGAAATTGATTCAAGAAATCATACAGACATACCATCATGACCTTCCATCTGACACAACAATCTAGGAGAGAGTTCTTCAGATTGGTTTTCTAAACTTTCATCCAAGATAGGAGCCGTTGACCAAATCTTAATTAAGTTTTGTAAACTACCAGTGGCTAGTCTTGTTCCATCTGGATGAACATGGATCGAATAGATTGTTTGTGGGTTTCCTTTTTCATCTTCATGGGTTACCCAATTCGGTTTGATGATTCTCATGGTGTGTTTGTTTGATTTTCTGATGAGTTCTTTTGAGTTTGAGTTTTGATTTGATGGGATTTGATGGGTTGGGTTTGAGGGTTTCTTGAAGAGTGTTTCGGATTGATGAGGAAGTGGATAAAGTATTTCTTTCGAAAGTTTGAGTTCTTGATGGTGAATGGTGAATGGTGCTGAATAATTTTGCAGAGCTCAGCCTGATGTAAATATGAAGAGAGAGAGAGAGGGTTATTTCGATATAGTGATAAGATGCTTTTAAGCAAGTAAGCTAATCCCATTTCACAACTGTGAACCTCATGAATCGGTGTTTCGATCAAAATATCAAATTCAATTCAAACAAGAACCATCACAGACCATCACCACATTATCACTATTCACTACTAGCTCTTCAAACCAACCAAGAAACACTTTACAAAATGGAAACCACCAAACTTTTATTTTTCAAACCAAAAGCACCAGCTGGTAGTTCATTAACTTCAATTCAACTAGTCATAGTTGTCATCGAATCAAATAAAGATGTAGGACCAGCCAGTGGACTTGGAAAGAAACTTGGATTTAAAGATATGAGATCTACTACTGATGATCTGATTCAATCAATTCTTGGAATCACTTCAAAATCAGATGGTATTTCTTTTTTCTATCTCACTAACTTGGAATCCAAAAACCAAAACTCATTTGATTTTTGACTTTCGGTCTTTTTCTGTAGTGACAATCGAAAGTCTTACTCCAAATCATGCTTCAAACGTTATGCTTGTTTGGTCCGATTCACTTCCTTCCTCAGCTCATTTAGAAAGCCTAGAAAAAACAGATATGCAGATCAAAAAACATACATTTCACTTAGCTGGAACGACTCCTAAACCAAAGTAAGGATCGAAACCCATGAAGAAAAGAAAAGAAAAGAAAAAGAACCCCAACTAATCTTGAAATGGATTTTGTTGTCTAGTCCTGTGGCTACTCCAGCTTCAATGGTGGCTCCTCGTGTGGCTTCAAACACTCCTGCTACAACGGTCGATAAAGGTTCTTTGGGTATAACTGCTAAAAAGGAATCTGCTACATTTGGTGATTGGTATCAAGATGTAAGTCTTAAATGATTGTCTCTTGCTAGAATATCCAACCTATTGATGATTATTTTTTCGAAATCTTGATATGACAGGTACTTAGAAAAGGTGATATGATTGATTATTATGATATCTCTGGATGTTATATTCTTAAACCAGCTTCGTATAGAATTTGGGAAATCATTCAAAGCAAGTAACAAGATAAGATTTATATATATGATTGATAAAGCAGATGAACCTAATATGATTTGAAATGAATTTAGATTGGTTTGATGAACGGATCAAAGCTCTTGGAGTCGAAAATGCTTATTTCCCTATGTTTGTCTCTTCACGAGTCTTGGAAAGAGAAAAGGATCATATCGAAGGTTTCGCACCTGAAGTTGCTTGGGTCACAAGAGCGTAAGTGATCATAGTCTTCAATCCGATTCCCTTTGAACCAAGCTAACTATTTTTTCTAATTTGGGTTCTTCTTTAGAGGTAAATCTGAATTGGAAGAACATATTGCCATTCGTCCTACATCCGAGACGGTCATGTACCCATATTACGCTAAAGTAAGCCTGCCTATCTTGATGATTTACAAGTTAGAGTTCAGCTCGCCACTTCAGCTTAGCTCAATTTTGACGGGTTTTTTAATCTTTAGTGGATCCAAAGTTACCGTGACTTACCTTTGAAGATTAACCAATGGAACAGTGTTGTTCGATGGGAATTCAAGAACCCACGTTAGTATTTCAACTTCATGCCAAAAGTATCATCAACTAATAGTGACTTCGATCGAATTGTACTCCAACAGAACCATTCATTCGTACACGAGAATTTCTTTGGCAAGAAGGACATACAGCTCATTTAACTAAACCAGAAGCAGATACCGAAGTCCGACAGATTTTAGATCTGTACAAAGGAGTCTATGAAGAATTATTAGCTGTACCAGTGACACCAGGGATCAAATCCGAAAAAGAAAAGTTTGCAGGAGGCTTATATACAACGACAGTTGAAGGATTCATCCCGACTTCAGGAAGAGGGATTCAAGGAGCCACATCACATTGTTTAGGACAGAATTTTTCAAAAATGTTTAATATTTCAGTAGAAGATCCAGCTAAACCGGTAGATTCGAAACTGGGAGTTCAAGCTGAGAAATTATTTGTTTGGCAAAACTCATGGGGTTTATCGACTCGAACGATTGGAGTGATGGTGATGGTACATGGAGATGATAAAGGATTAGTCTTACCACCTAGAGTGGCTCAATTACAGGTGATTGTCATTCCGGTTGGGATTGTAGCCTCGACCACTCAAGAAGGAAGAAAAGAATTGTATGATAAGACAGAAGAACTGGCGGCACGATTACGTAAGGCTGGGGTTCGAGCTAAATCGGATTTACGTGAAGGGTATACTCCAGGATGGAAATTTAATTCGTGGGAGATGAAAGGGATTCCATTAAGACTTGAACTTGGACCTAAAGATTTAGCTAATCAAACTACATTGGTGGTTAGACGAGATACTGGAATCAAAACTCCATTTTCATTAGATAAACTTGATGAAGAGATTCCGGAATTACTTGAACGGGTTCAGAGTGAAATGTATGAAAGAGCTAAATTGGTTTATGATCAACATCGTAGGATCGTCACCGAATGGGATCGGTTTGTGCCGGCTTTGAATGAGAATTGTTCGTGTGTGATTCCTTGGTGTGAAGAAGAAAGTTGTGAAGATTCGATTAAAGATCAAAGTGCCAAAGAGTAAGTGTTGATTCCTTTACAATGATCCTTTTCTTTTTGAACTTGATATCAGAGAGGATTTAGTTGAATTTTGATTTGGTTTTTTTTTTGGTGTGGTTTTTCTTTTCTGTAGAAGTGCAGTTGAACAAGATGAAAGAGCTCCATCGGCTGGTGCTAAATCTTTATGTATTCCATTTGATCAAAGTGTTTATCCTAAACTTGAGATTGGAGTGACGAAATGTTTAGGATATGGTTGTAAGAAAGATGCAAAAGCTTGGACTATCTTTGGTAGAAGTTATTAAAGAAACAAACAAGCAATCATTGAAAAATCTGTCTGGTGTTGTTTTACAAAGAAATTTAGAAAAAAATGTGGTGCTTTTTTTTTCTTGATCTTGAAATTGATTTTTTTTATAAAAGTTTTGAAGTCGGTTTGAAATTTTAGTTTTTTTTGTTTGTTTATCACTTGTTTTTTGTTAACTTGATTTGAACTCACTTAGAGTGATTTGATATATTTTTTTGCTTTAATTTTTTTGGTTATGAGATTGATAGGTACAATCATTCTTGTAAAGCTTCAGTTGGAGCTGAAAGGTAAATTCAACTGGGCATGATATGAACTTTAAAGGCTGAAATCGTATGAAATCGAATTTTTCAAGGTCACCCAGTATTGAACAAATAATACCTTGCGTGAGTAGGGAAGGGATTCCCTCCTTGAACAGGCTGGCTTGGGTCATGATCCTGATTTTTGAAAAGTGCCATCCCATTGAGCATACATTCAACACATCGCCTCTTCCAACAAACGACACCCGTGGCGGTACGCACCCTGACTCTGAGTCTGCGCTGAGGGCAAGTTGGCAGAGCATTCGTGACTGATATTTTCTTTGGCTAAAGAAGATGAGTTTAAGCGAGCAGATACACCCGAGATACCTTTATATGGGGTCTAGTTACCGGAACATCCTAAGTAGACCACCTCTGTCCCAGGAGTAAAATCACATCAATTTCACCCTGGAAGTGAGCCTTTACTGCGGTAAAGCTTTTTGCCTCACTTCGTAAAAGAGTGTTTCGATGAGACCCAAGGACATGATTTATAAAGTTGATGTTGTGATGGCAACTCAGCACTTGAATGTAAAATCGAAAGGTGGTTATTCAAGTTGATGAAACACGAAATCAGTTTCGATGCTGACATGGTACTCCTCCTGGACTTGCTTGGGTCGCGATGCGAAAACCGAAAACATGGTTCCTAGTCTCTTCAGAATGAGGTTCAACTTTTGGGTGTTGATTCCATATGTACGGAGACCCATGAAACAATCACTATGGTATGAAATGCAGAAGTTCTTGGTTCGGTTGTTGTAAAATTGGCATCTGCTATGACCGACAACTTCCAAATCTTGGTAGAACTTTAGCCGGATGCCAAGGTAGTACAACACGTTTATCAAACTCAGCACTTTCATTCCTCTAATCTTCATTCTACAATTTTTTTTGTCAACTTAAACACCTATCACTCACTTAAACTCACTTCAAATTCAACAACGGTGATTCACAAAATAATAAACTTCAGTATGCTTTACCGCTATATCACATCTCTCTTCCTTTTGGCAATCTCTTTAGGTATAGTATTTAATTTCAATCTATTGTGATCATGACTTCATTCAAATGACTTGGAGATGATCTTTGAAACGTACATATAGGGCTGGTCCATGCTAAAGATAAAAAAGTTACCAATGATAACCTATGTTTCTTATTAGGCAAGACGCCTGTACCTTCTGACGTCAAACCTGATCCAGGAGTGAAATGTATACCAAATGTAAGCGGATCTCTCTGTTATGAAATTCAAATCCGATCGAAAGATGATGGGTTAGAAATTGAAGTCATTTTTTCCAGAGTCAAGCTTTTCCTTCTCTGAAACAACTTCCTGACGTAGAGTTTGGTGAAGGTAAATTCCTTACCCGTTTTGTGAGTGATATTTTTGCAATACGAAGATTTAACTGAGAGGCTCATAGAATGACCGTGTCCAATCGATCTAATGATATATGCGCATCGTTTTTTCATTTCATCTAGACTACAATCTCTTTCTTGAAGGATACCAAAGTAAGCTCCGTAAGGTTTGGAATCAAGAATTTCCCACTTAGTTTGGACAGAGAAGCTTTAAATTCTGCATTCCAAGTCTATGAAGCTATGAATGCTGGGCTTAGAAGTCTTGGGGAAACTCCCAAGGGAAAGATATTGAGATCTTTGAAAGGGTTAGTGTCAACTCTTTGACTTTTTGTATAAAGAGTAGAGATTGACCAAGTTTGAGAATCTGATTTCAACTTCATCTCAATCAAAATTTTCAAAGGACAACCTTCTTTTTGAAATTCCAATTGAGGTGTAAAGATAAAGATGTCACTAGTCCACAGGGCGCTAAACATCAAATGCTCAAAGTGAGTGTTTGTTTTCAGAATCTCAACTACATCTGATCTCCTTGTAACATGAATTGAAAGTTGATTGATAATTTTCATTGATTGATTATGAACAAACTAGGTTTTAAAGAATTGTGTAGGATGCACTGCTGATGATAAAGCAGAAGTGAAAAAACTGGCAGCTGCATGTGGAATAACAGATTTTTCTAAACCATGAATCAAACATACTATTCTGCATACCCATAAATCTAATGTCTTTTTGGTCTCATTTGTGTATCAGGAGGGGGCTCAAGTTGAGTTTTTTATGGCTTTTGTCATACAAAAGTTTGCCTTTTTTTCATGAATCCTACTGTACATTTTACATCATTGGACAAAGCTTTCTATAGCTACTAATTTTTAAAGCTGTAGTTTATGGGTTAGTTTCATTCAAATAATAACAAATTTGTGGACATCTTTTGAACATTTTCTTGTATTTTTTATGAAGAATCAGGCAAAAAATTTACAGCCCAAGAGATTATGAAGTTTACCTGATTTGCAACCGCAAAACCTAGAATGTTTCAACTTGAGCCCTCTTATTGAAAACATAAACAGTTAAGTTTACAACACAAAATCAAAGACCTCATCTTGACTGTTTCACTCTTGAAAACAGGCGGGCTTGACAGTGATGCAAGGACAACTTTGCATCCTGATTCCTATTACCAGTAATTTGCTCAATGTAGTGGGTGGATGACCAAGGCAAAAGTGTGCAAAAGCCTTGATTGTGGTCTATGTGTGATTGTAAAAACTTGAGAAAGTTTGACTACATTTAAAACATGAGAACTTTCCTGTGTAGTATTTTTTTTTGTAAAACTTCAAACTTGACACCCCCTATTGTTCCATTGTTCTCTTTTTTTATGGAAACTGATAGTTTAATTTCTTGTGCCTTGTGTTTATCTTACTCCAGTAAACAATGAATCAACAAGCTATTGCAGCTAACCAGTAGAAAAAGTCTAGAATTTTTGATTGATTTCCCTACCAACTCAAAATCTCATCCATCAATGTAATGACAACACAATAAATTTTGATGTTTGAGCACCAGTTGTGTTTGATCCCAACACATGCACATTAGAATATGAAGACAGTGTAATAAAAGTGTATCCAAATGTTGTGAATTTTTGGGGACTCTAAATCACACAAAGAGCACAAATAGTGTGCACTATTTCTAGCATTGGCTTGAGGTTGATTGGTGTGCATCTCATTACTATTGAATCCCACATTATTTCACCTGTGTCACCTGTGTTCAGTGACATACTGCTATGAGCCTACCATAGCTTATATGTACATATACAATATGCCTACATGATTGTACTAGAACTCAGAGAATCAAAGATTTTACAAATGCTTACACGGCAATTGTCAGCCCTCGAGCGCTTAATACTAAGCACCAAAAGGATTTCAAGATAAACTAAAAACATTTTTTACAAAAATATATAAAAAAGATTAACAAATCTTCAAAGACATCTTACGAATCTAGTCTCAAAGATTCAACTAGAAACATGAATAAAAAACATTTATATACAACTTAAAGACCTAGTATCAAAGGTCCACTGATAAAATAATGAAGTAGAAATTCCACGAATGAATCTATCAAAATAAAAGAAAGACATGAGTCCTTTCCAGTAAAAGTTTCTACTAGGATAAAAGAAATAAATGAAAGACTCACTAATATGAGAATCGCCAAGTACGCTAACGAGCAAGAGAAGCTAGAAGTATGATATCTCTGAGAAAAGATAGACCATAAACCAATGAGTCCATTCAGTCATACGTAAATAAGAAACAAGCTAGAAATATCAAACAAATCATGATAACTAATACTAACTTACGAACGTAAGAAGAAAATAAACTTACGTGAAAGATTTCCACGATAACAAGTAAGTGTCGAAGGAAACACTCTGAATACGTAAAGTATTGGTGTGGGACCAACCAAAGAAGCGAAGTAATGAATAGTACTCTCATTAGCATGTTCGGTCGGACTAAGGCAGACAAGCGGCAACAATCTCACTTACCAATTAACGAGGAGGAAAGAAAAGTATAAGAACCTACTCTTTCCATCACCTCAAGGAAGGAGGCATCGAATTACACATCATCTATAAAACAAGTAACTATTAGTTATTTCTTTCTAAAAAACAAAGTCCAGCGAGTCCCTACCCAGTTCCTTTTAGACTTCTTAGCTTCATCGTATAAGAACTGAAAGTACCTTACTGTTTACCGGCTCATTCCACTTCTTAGAAGAAAACACTCCAGTTATTCCTTCTAGATATTGTGTACTACACGTCACCACTACCCTATTCTCTCGAATCTAGCAATCCCCAGTTTTAATCGATAATAGTACTTCGTTAAAGACCCGTAGTCGAACTTGTTTTTCGCTATTCAGTTATCGAATATTCTTTTACCAACTAAACTCCGGACCATCTACAGTTGTTATCGCTTAAAGCCAACCACGCGCGCGCCCGCAAAATCGAAATTTACCGACCCGAGCTATCTCACTGGCCCCGAGGGGTCGGTAGGTGCTGAAAAGTCATTTTTGGGACAGTTGAAGGTGGTTAGAGCATCCGCACTCGTTTGCGGTTGTTAACTTGGTCACGTGCGGTAACAACCGCTACATTAAGCAAAAAATGACTTAACTCAGCCAAATTTCGCACTCGTTTGTGTTAGTAGCACTGTAACGTTTGTAACTTTACCGATAATGCATGTGCTCCACAGTGGTCATGCAGTAAGGTAACATTCAATTTTTCAAGTACGATTTCAAGTTTAAGAAAACAAAGGCTATATTTGAATACATCTATTGATCTTGTGAAAATTATAAAGATTTGAAACTACACAAGAAAGATGAACAATCTGAACCAATCCAAACTTTTTTTAATGTTTGATTCAGCTTTTTTCAACTGTTTGGTTTGTATCTCTTGATCTTAAAAGTCTTCCAGTCATTAGTCTTTAGAATTCAATTTTCTCATCTATCTCTATACATATGTGAAGTCTGAAATTCTTCATATTGATTCGATTGGTTTGAAGTCGAGTTGAAGATTTTCAAACGACCTATTTTAGAACAAAAAAACAAAAAAAACAATCGTAAAAACATCGATTGGTGTTAAAAGGTCTTGATTCAATTCATGTGACTGGGTGAGAGAGGTGAAAAGACGATGTTTGTTGTTGACTTTGGTATTGGAGATTGGGCTGAGTTGAGTTTTTGGAGTTGTAGTTGCTGTGAACAGGTCGTGATGTGTGCTACTGCATGCGTTAGCCAATCGGTAGATTTACCGATTCGCTAACGCAAACTGATGAAAAATTAACTACCGCGGGGCTAATTGTTCACCGGTGCGGAAAAGACCCCGCGGTTGCGTTAAATTTAACCTTACCGCACTCGATTTACCGCACGAGTGCGGATGCTCTTAGTGCGGTGAATGACTTTTTGAGTCAAAGTGACCAGCGGTTTTTTTTTCAATTTTTTTTTTATTATATTCCCATATATTTCGGACCTATGGCTTTATAGTGTAGTTATGGGTTTATATTATGGGTTTAGAGCGTAATTATGGGTTTATATTATGGGTTTAGATGGTACTTATGGGTCTATGAGGGCTCAATTTGGCTCATCTCGAGCGCTCAAGGTAAGGGCAAGTAAGGACTCAAAACAATTCTTATTTCATGTATTGTATGTATGATGTTGTTCTGTTTGCTTTTGACTTGTATAATAAACAACATGATCATAGAAAAAAGACAATTAAAAAATTAAAAGACTGGATTTATAAACCAGATTGATCACTTTATGCGTTTTGTTGATCTGGTTGCAAGATGAACTGGAAATCCATCGCAGCCTTTCGAGGGACGCATCGATGAGATCGATATCGCTTTGAGTTGGCCAAATTGTGAGCTTGAGTGCCTGTGAAGCCTTGGCTAAAACAGGAATGAGAAGTAAGTAACAGAGGAAACAAAGATTCAGATAAAAACTTACCGATACACATCCACTTGGCGATCGATCTTTCGAAAATACTTTTGAATTGTGGTGACTGGACAAGATCTCCGGACATTCTCAAAGAGATCCTTTGAGTCTTTGAAAGACTTGCAAAGATGGCTATGCTTTCGGAACTCTGATAATACACATGGTCAGTTGATTAAGCAAGACGAGTTAAAAAGAAAAAACTTACTGTGTTTTATGAATGACCAATATATTTCGATCAGGTTAAGCTCTCAATGGAACTTTGGTAGAAACAGACAGATGTGACCAGCATCTTCGATGACAGTCTGAAGCAACGGCTTCTCATTTGCGAAGTCGGATTGCAGGCTCAAGATCTTGGAAGCACAGCAAGCCGGATCTTCATCTTCAACAGTGAGGGGGATAACTTCTCCTCTATGTTCATAGGCTTCCTGAGCTTCTTTCTCGCGCCTCAATCGACCCTCGCGAGCAAGTTGATCTCGCTTTGTTGCTGACATTTGACAGTTGCCACACTGAAAGACCGGCTTGTGATTTGAAGCCTTTGCCTTTGATAAATACCAATCCCACAGACCTCGCTCCTGGAGAACGCACCGCACACCCTTAGATTTTCCAGCAAATTGAGGATGATCTGGAGGATATACCATCGTTTGTGGCTGGCCTTGAAGCTCGGTCGGAATCCTAGGATCGTCGGTTGGAATGTATGTATCACGTAAGAGATCCTTCTTGCCCCCAGGACCAAAGTTCATGTGTGAGACCCGAAGAGCTGAAGGCCCATAAGATGCATGGGCAGATGAACAATCAAATATAAAAACTCCCTGAGAGTCGGGGAAAAGGTAATTGAAAATTGGAAGGGCTCGTGTTTTGACCTGTTTGATGAGTTGGGAACAGTCCCACCATTTATCCCCATTGGCACCAGGATAAGTGACCACCGCAGCGTCGCTAAAGGTCGGTAAAGGACGAGTCCCAGCTGACTGTTCATCTTCAGGTGTGATGACTAAGCGACCAGTAGATGAGGCTTCGACAATCCAGTCGGAGTCATGAATGAGACGGCCTGGGGACTTCTTTTGTAACTCAGTCGTGTTATCGGAAAGCCAGGCAAGTCTAGGACGTTCGTTTGCGTGTACAGTGGACTCGTCATGGAAGAGAAAGACCGTTTCCTTCTGCCCATCCAACTTCTCGGGGTCGACTCGAATGGACTGATCAAGGTTATCGCCAACAAACTCTCGTGACCGTTCTCAAAGCTCAGA